TATCGTTTCCTATGCCAGAAGGGAAATACTTATAGTTTTTTCACATCTCTAAATTTCGAAGTCGTATGAAAATGAAAATGTAGAGTGTCTGTACCTGTCAATTCAATCATACTCTACAATTCCTGTACGCCAATCATAATCATGATTCAAATTGGCAAAAAGGTATATTATCTCGGAACATGAAGGATGCAATCGCCTCGTACCCTTTTATTGAAGCTATTCTTGTCTGCTTACATTATTAGTGAGGGCTTATACGAGTACAGATGACATTTCAAGGGTATCTTATGGGTTTGTAAGAGGAGCTATTTTGCAACAAAAATATGTAGTCTGATGTGCTGTCGACTGTACCATATATTTTTCAACTAATGTATATTGTTTCGTCCCTTTTGTACCCTTTGCACCACCGGCCTGCACCACTGGTGGTGCAAAGGGTATTTTTTAATCCCTTTTGCACCACCAATAGTGCCGCCCTACTATTAACTGTAAAACGATTATCTATAATCATATAATATTAATATTATAAAGAGGAAAGATTTGATTGTTTGTTTGTACTGAATAGGCTCCGAAACTACTGGACAGATTTGACAACATAACATAAAAATTAATAACAACCATTCATACCTACATACAACGAATAATTCCTAAAGTACCAGGGCAACATAATCATAAAGGAGCTATATCAAATTCTTCTTGGTTGATCCGAGAATAAACATGTATCATAAAATAGCTCCTTTATGGTTATGTTGCCCTGGTACTTCACACACACAAATTAAAACTTTTAGGTAGGTTTTGATTTATTTATAACAATTAAATTATTTTACAGTCCACTATTAGTTTTACAGTCGATGGTAGCACAGCACTATTTGCTGGTGGTGCAAGAGGGATTAAAAAATACCCTTTGCACCACCAGTGGTGCAGGCCGGTGGTGCAAAGGGTACAAAAGGGTTTCGTCAACATTACAGTATACTCGTAAATTAGAAACATAAGTTACCTGAATGACAAATATTTCCTTATTCACTTTTTTCGAACATTTATCGACAGATTCTAGTTGTCTGGATTTCTGCTAAAATATGCTTACGAAAAGGATTGGATTGGGTGATATAAGCACATTTTTCGTTAGTTAACTTCTATTTACTGACAACATACAAGTTAAAACCAAACCTCTGTCATGTTTACCCGTCTCGCGACTTCGTGAAATATTGTTATCAAGTTTACGACGAGCTATATTTTGTGCCACAACGTTCGTTTAGCATACCTACTCTAAGAATCGCCTGAATAATGCTTCAAGAACCACCTTTTTATTCAGGAACAAAATCGGTAAGGTAATGTTGCGGATAATCGTGATAAACAAGCGACGTATGACGTTGAGTGGGTGATATTTTTTGCCGGGGAAACACATTGTAGTGCTGGCACCTGCTCGTTTTTGAATATGTAACGTGTTGAAGCATTTTGAGGTAAGAAGCTTACGTTGGAAGAACATGCGTCCCTGCGATGCAATTTTACGGTTCATTCAGTATTCTATGTTTAAATAAAGTATCGTGTTCGAAGCATACATCACGAGATTTGAATAAAATGGATACTAGGATCTGTGAAAGTGGAAAATATTGTTTTGAAATATTTCAAAATAAACACACTGTAGGGTAATTCAAGTGCAATCTGTCATTTCAATCTATTCTATTTGTCATTTAGCTTGTTTAATCTGTGCTCAATAAAGTGCACAATATTTAAGCAGGATATGGTTGCACGCGGATTTTTAGAGAGTTAAATCTTTTGGCCAATAGAAAACGTCATAATAGTTATTATATGAACTGGGATTGGTCAATGACTTTTGAAATTAAAATCCGATGGCCTGAAAAAATCGGTTTTCCAACAAACGTCAGTTACGCGCAAAGAGGTTTAGCTATTTATNTTAGACTTCCGCGACACTACGCTACAGCGACAGCTCGCCTACACGGCGGACCCTACACGCATCCCTTGTGGGGGTCCGACGGGAATGCCCGAAACGCCAAGCCGTTCCCGTCAGACGAAGGTGACAAGGGTGCCCCCGCACCCCAGGCCTGCTGGCCGCCACCTGGGGGGAGAGTAGAACGGTCGTACAACCGCCTTCCCCACTCCCTTCTCCGCCTGCGGAGCGATGGGGCGAGAGGATCGTTCTCCCGCTCGCGTTCCGCTGCCTCCTTCTGAAGGATGACCTCTTCGCAAAAGGAGGAGACCGCCTTCCAGCATCCTTCACTTTCCAGCATGGCGTTGACCAGGCTCGGAAGCGAAAGATCCCACCCCACGACCCCAGTGAGGACACGGCGCTGCTCCTCCCAGCCTGTGCAGACCGCGAGGGTGTGCTGCACCGTGTCATCCGCCGCGCCGCATTTGTGGCACACGGGGATTCCTCTCGCCCGATTCTATGCTAGTACGAACCGAAGCAGGCATGCCCGGTCAGCACCAGCGCCAGACGGAACGTGAGGAACCCGTGCGGTCGTTCCAACCATTGGTCCAGAACAGGACCAATGGCGTCCAGAGTGCGGCGGCCAAACTGCGCGCGAGTCATGTCTTCGTGACGGCGCCGCGCCGCTCCGGGGCCAGGCGCTTTCCACGCGCCTTCTGGTCTGCCATCCAGTGATAGATGACACACAAGACCCCAGCTTCTAGCTCCCAAGGAGGAGTACCAGGGAGGACGCACGCCGCAGCGTGCCCTACCGAGCGGTAGGTCCTTGCGACCCTCTGCGCTATGGCCCGCTGGGGTCTGCGCAGAAGGGCAGCATTCTCCCTTTTGTTAGTGCGTCCGCCCAGATTGGGGCGCCATACAGCGCCATGCTCCTCAGAACGCCGGCATAAAGTCGACGACACCTCGTTTGTGGCCCTCCCAAATTCGGGTAGAGCCAACTCAGTGCGCCGGCTGCCTTGAGGAGGCGTGGCGCTAGTCCGTTGAAGTGTGGGCTAAAATGCAACCTCCCGTCAAGCATGAGGCCCAGATATTTCATCTGGCCTTTGACGTCAATACTAACGTCCTCAACCACAATATGGGCGTCGGGAGGGGCGCGCTGGCGAGGCCCCGGAAAGATGAGGAGCTCAGTCTTCTCCAGCGCGACTTTCAGGCCGAGGCGTCGTATTCTGCGAGCTACTAATGTGCCGCCCACCGACGCCAGCCGTGCCGCGGCCCCAAATGTCTTCCCCGGGCTGTGGCCAGAGTGTCATCCGCATTGCACATGACACTCATGCCCGCGAGAAGGACGCCCCGGAGGAGCCAGTTGAAGCCTAGATTCCACAAAAGTGGACCGAGCACCAAACCCTGCGGAACACTGCTGGCTACGCCGCGCCGTTTGAGCTGGCCGTCTCTGTTTTTAACATACAGGACTTCGCGGTCCCGTAATTAATCAGCCGGCAGCGCTCGAAGGTACTGAGGCACTCTGTAATGTTGAAGTGCCTAGAGTATGTTGGAATGAGGGATTGTATTGAAAGCGTTGGCTATATCGAATGACACAGCCAACACACCCTCAGCCCTCTCCCTAGCCTCCGCAGTGAGGCTTTTTAGCCTCTGAAGGGCGTCAACCGTCGACCTGTCATGTAAACCAAAGCAGTAATGCCAACGTCACGAAAATGAAGTAGGTTCCACAATATCGAAATATGACGATTGAATGTGTAAACCAAAATAAGGCGAAGTTTTGAGGTGGTTTGAGTTTTGTTGCATAAAAATAATCTTTAACATTTTTTTTTTATTTTTTTTATCGGGAGTGCTGGGCCCCTGGTCATAGTGGGCCCCTGGCCATAGTGGGCCCCTAGGCACTGGCCTAAAGTGCCTTATGGATAATACGGCACTGTATGTGACTGTGTTTCTGTTTGTAAGATAAATTTAATCTGAAGTTTGAGTTAAAAGTTGTACAACAAAAATACGAGGCCCTCTGGCCTAAATAAAAAATATATTTTTGTTGAGGGACTGATAATCAGTTAGAGTTCGTTTTTATTGAGGTACTGATAATTCGTTTTTTGCTTCTTTAGCATTTCAGAATGCCACCAGTGTCACCCTTAAAACCAATTGCGTAAAATCTTGTAACTTAGTAGGTGACGTAATCGGTAAAATTTTATCTTGTATTTAAGTAGGTATTTATATTATGTTATTGCTATTTATCTATGAAAATAAGACAAAATATATGTTTTATAAACACTTAAGAGTCATATACAGTTGTAAAGTTTGAAAAAATTATTGCTGTGAAGTACAGAATCACTTTCGTGGCATCAAAAAATTCAAAACGTTAAAGCTTCCAAACGAGACTCACTATTTGACTGATTTACTGAGAATACAATCTTCACATCAAGCGCTACAATTTTTGTTTACAAAAAGTTGAAATAAGTTAGAAATGTAATTCGCCACGAAGGTGACGATGAGAACCGTGGCGATGAGAAATACCCAAATACCTTTACGCCTGAGTTAAATGACACCGACATCAAGGTTCATCAATTCAAGTTTAAAATAATAGGCAGTAATGTCATGAAAAAAGAGCTTCTATTCTGTATCTACTTATGCCCGTGTAATTTTGATCGGTGTCAAATCGGAGTTTTCGTGCGGGGTGCGCGGGTGTTTCGCGCGGCGTGAAGGTCAAACGCCCAAGGTCATTCAGGACTCTAATCGCCTTAAGTGTAAAGATGAAATCTCTCAAACAAACTTGATAAATCAAATGAAAGGAAAACCATAAAATCTTAAATTATTGTAATTATTTACAAAAAATTGTATGGTATGGTGGTAAATTTTCGAAAAAACATCGAAAATCCCTGAATGCAGTTCTCTTTCTTTTCAAAAATAAAGGAATGTTTTCTTTGAGTAAAATTTTCTATCTACAGTATTAAGGGTACTTTCCCTCCCAGGTGGCATTACAAAATTCTGTATATTATGCTCTGTCACGTCATATTATAATCAGTGACACCCCTCCCATACCTGAGTTAAGTGCTAAACCTATCAGTACATGAAATAAAACAACAAATAACACGCCAACCTATATTGCATCACATTAAAGGACCTTATATCTAGCCTTGTTGACCATGTGGTGGGCGGAGGTCTGCAGTTTCAGGAGCTCCTCCTTTATGAGCCGCGTGATCTCCGACTTGGCTTTCGCCACGGCTAGTTCCTGGGAGCTCTCTATGGCGAGGTACAGTTTGCGTTCGCCTTCGGGCGGCTGTTTGCCCGGGGGCACGTATGTACCCCTGACGGTTATACCAGCCTCGCTGTACTCGCTAATAAGCGCCAACGCCTCCTGGAATAGACAGAAAAAAAAAGATAAATATCGGTAGTTGAGATTTAACGCCCTACGCCCTTAGAACGTGGTTTTTAGCGCCGCGCGCATTAAAACGTCAGTTTCATCGTGGCCATTTTGCTTGCATTACGTTAGCGAGAAACATCCCGAGGTCCCCCCTATTTTCAATCAACTGTTTATAGTATATAATTTTAAAAAAATAAATAAAATCTTTATTCAATAACTTATTTGACAGATTAAACTCAAGGCTAATGTTATGCTACAAAAGGTAAAACTATACATGTGCCTGAACTAGGAAAATTTATCCTGTATCTATAATCTGAAACTATAATAGTAATCCTTTTAGATTTAGGCAAAGGCGTCGACTACTCAATTTAGTTACAAGAACCTGTGACTACACCTTTCTTTGCGTGTGCAACAGTTTGATACTAGGCCTTTTCTGTCAAAAGGGGCGTACCCCTCTTAACGCCTCGAGACAGATCATGGACACAAAATAACTATTTTGAATTAGCAAATATACAAAAGCGTAAAATACTTTTTATATTTAAGTTAAAAAAATAGCTGCCGCAAGGTTCTGGAGTGGAAGCTGCGTACCGGAAAACGCAGCGTGGGACGTCCACCCCCAACGTGGACCGACGACATCATAAAGGTAGGAAGGCGCTGGAAGCAGGCCGCTACCAACCGGGCAACATGGAAAGCATTGGGGGAGGCCTATGTTCAGCAGTGGACGTCCTATGGCTGAGATGATGATAAAGAAATTACTGTTCTTGAATGGGACAAAGGAAAATCAATTGCACTTAGAGTACACAGATATAAGTAAGTAAATAAATACCTTCTTATGACTAATGGCAGTAGTAGCAATGCCTGTGCTTTTTCAACATTTTGACACAGAAGAATATTAGAGCACCAATTAACGCCAGCTTAAGCAGCATCTTGACTGACTGTTGCAAGTATAGAAATTGTACTGAGAACGCATTACGAGTCATAACTGCACATATAAATAACTGCATAGGTTATCTGTGGGTCAATGCGATCTCCTTCCAAGCAAAAATACATTTCTTCTATCGAGGTGAACGCTTTTAAAAAGTAAACAAGTGAAACAGGGTCAAAATTGTTGACGCAGACGAGACGATAACGGGAGTCAAATAAAAAGTTTAATATTATAGTCGCTAGATAAAGGAATAATAATATCAATTACCTATAACGTTATCTTTTCAAAATTTTGATCTCGAAAGTTTGAGATTTAGACTGTCACAACGTAATTATTTTTAAATAATTGACTGTCTGTAATCAACCTCGCGATTATCAAAGGAAAATACAATCACCGATGATAGATGAGCAATGCGGAATTAAACACATAAACAACTATTATCGCAAAGGACTTCCTTACAATTAATCTACAGAAACTAATTTTGATATTTTAGCAGTTAGCATACGCTAAGCAAAGACAATAACAATGTATAGACGAGGGGCTACCGTCAAAATCGATTGCACAATCATAGATCTATTCTAGGGACATAATATCAGATCCAAAAATATCTCGCCTATGCACCGGGTGTGGTACATAATTCATAGTTATCTGCGGTGGATGGAAACTTTTGAATGTCGCATGTCAAGTTGTTTACTATCGTTGCAGCGGCATATCCCCGCCGACGGCCGGTTGACCCCGTCACACTGCGAGCATGCTTGTTGTGCAATGAGTTATTTATAGTTATTGCTTAGGTTTGCCTGCCGGCGCGCACGTATTATTGGAGATAAGCTAATGGAAGCTTTGATTACACGTAAAGAATTATGGTTATAAGGCGATTTGCACACAGCTGCCTACATAAATTATTCTAGTGGGTTCGACAGATTATAATAGGACCACACTTTTTTAGATGTCATAAGAGGCGACTAATTACTTAAACTAGTTCGCCTCATGTTCGACTAATGTTCGATATGGAGGTCAGAACCTCCCTATCCCGCCAAGCATAGGGAGTGTAAGCCAAATCTTCCGTTTGCCTCTGGTAAATTAAATGGTTGTGGAGACTAAATTACCGGATGATGTGATGACGATATAGTTTTAAACTAATATCGTCAAAATTGTCCCGATGGGATTCGAACACTGAACTTAGATAGCAGAAATGCTACTTTTCCATAAGCGGAGCAAACTTGCGAGCACACGACGAGTCATTTCCAACTAATTCGCAACTCCCTATCAACTGAAGAGTAGCTTCAAGGTTCAGTCAAACCAACGCAATGAGGGCTATCGTTTTAGCGCTCACCAGTTAGCGCCACTGTAGAGTAAGGTCCTGTCACTTGCTAGTAGCGAAGACAGTGGCACCAACTGGTGAGCGCGAAAGTGGTAGGAGGACTATCGCATTTGCACTCATCAAGATGGCGCCACTGTAGAGTAAGGTTCTGTCAATCGCCAGGGGTGCCAACTGTTAAGTATAAAAACGATAGCCCTCATTACACGCGATATCAGTCGGCGTGCAGCGATGGCGATCAGACTTGAATACATTGGTCGCTATCGCTGCACGACGGCTCATCGCGTTGGTTTGGCCGAACCTTCAGGCGATTGTCTTGTTACTGGCCGTGACTGGTGCTCGGCTAAAATTGTCCCCAATGGGATTTGAACAGCTTACCTTGCTGACGTGGAGCGTGATTGCGGACTGTCACACGCGAATTAAGGCTGCGAGCACGCGAATTTTTGTACGATTTTCTCAGCTAAAATTGCCCCTATTAAGATTCGAACTGTCTACCGGAGCGGAGCGAGCGAAGGAGTAATGCGGAGCAGAGGTACGGACTGCGTTTGTCAATAGACTGGTAGATGCTAGATAATACAATATGCGGAGCGCGATTGCGGACTGTCACACGCGGAGTTAGGGTGCGAGCACGCGACGAGTCATTTGATTTTCCCGCTCCAATTCTTGATTTTCTTGGCTAAAATTGCTCCCAATGGGATTCGAACACCGTACCTTGCTGGTGACCCTCCAGCGGGCCTGCTGCGGGAAGTCGTTGATCTCGAGCTCGGTTTCGTACTTGCGGAACACTTCTTCAGCCGGTTCGGACGCGCTCTCGTCGCGCGGCTGGTAGTTGAGACGAGTGTTGAGTTTAGCAGCCAGTTGCTCGGCTACGGTCTTTGCCTGGAAATAATAAAGCAACGGTCAGTATCGGTACATGAACGAATTAAATTGTATTGTCTACGTTCGTTCGTTTCAACCAAGATCGGCAGTTTGGTGTAGTGGTTAGAAACGGACTACTACTATTATATACTACTAGCTGACCCGGCGAACTTTGTTCCGCCTTAATGGAAATAAATAAGCAGACTTTTTTTAATTTCAAACGGGATAAAAAGTATCCTATGTCCTTCTCCTGGCTCTAAACTACCTCCCTGACAATTTTCAGCTAAATCGGTTCAGCCGTTCTTGAGTTATAAGTGGTGTAACTAACACGACTTTCTTTTATATATATAGACTATTCGGGAGGTAGCGGGTTCGATTCCCGCACAGTACAAACATTTGTGTGCATGATCATATTTGTTTGTATTGGACTGGGTGTTTTCTATGTATAATAAGTATGTATTTACAAAAAAAAGTATTTAAGTATGTTTTATCCGTTGTCTACCCATTTGTTGTTTTACCCATAGTACAAGCTTTGCTCAGTTTGGGACTAGAAGCGCAGTGTAAAATGTCCAAGGATATCTATTTATTATTTATTAAATGACGTCCACAGCTGGACAAAATCCTCCTATGGATTTCCATAACGACCGGTCCAGCTTTACCCGGATCCAGGTACTCCCCGCAACCTTCACCAGATCGTCGGACCACCTAGTGGGGACCCTGACCACACTACGTTTACCGGCCTGTGGTCTATGTGCTATGTCAAAATAAAATATTGTTCTACAGATGTGTCTGTATAGCGATTAACTGAGGTACTGCGATGATGATGCGAAGCAGATGACATATGTGACGTAACTGTTGTCATAGCATACATTATCTGAAGTCACGACGATGTTTTAAGGCTAGACCTATTTAATTAGAATAGAGAAACACGGGTCTACAATAAGTGGTCTAAAATTGTACTCACAGTGATAAGCACCGGTCTGCTCGGCACCTAGCCCTTTGGCCAAGTTAATACGTGAGGCGAGTCGTCGAGCCAGTTCAAGCTTCCCGCCGGCCCCGCTATAGATATCAGGCTAAGATGCGCGCCGTGATAAATTCTGAGCGATGATATTAGACGACAAATGTATGGGCTTGTCGCGTAAAATCGATAAAATGCCTCGATATAAGTTTATCATGCCACGCATCCTAGGTCTACAGAATCAGCTAAGTTCTAGTAAAAATGTACTCACAGTGATAAGCGTGTGTGCTGAGGGCGCGCCCTTTAGTATAGCCTCAGCGACTTGCTGCGTGGCGCCACGAGGCGAGTCTTCGAGCCAGTTCGAGTTTCCTAATGACCTCGCTGGGAAGACTAGGAGCTGCTATGTTCCAGTAAAAGTGTGCTGAGATCCATTGTATCGATGCTAGAAGTCGCTTACACGACCTAAATGTCTACTCACAGTGCTCGGCGCCTAGCCCTTTGGCCAGGTTAATACGTGACGCGAGTCGTCGAGCCAGTTCAAGTTTCCTAATGACCTCGCTGGGAAGACTAGGAGCTGCTATGTTCCAGTAAAAGTGTACTGAGACCTATTGTATCGATGCTAGAAGTCGCCAAAAGAGCCTAATATTGTACTTACTGTGATGGATGAGGGTGTGTGCGGACGGCGCGCCCTTCAGTATAGCCTCGGCGGCTTGTTGCGTGGCGCCCTTCTGCTCGGCACCTAGCCCTTTGGCCAAGTTAATACGTGACGCGAGTCGTCGAGCTAGTTCAAGCTTCCCGCCGAACCCGCTAGAGATAGATATCAGGCTAAGATGCGCGCCATGATAAATTCTGAGATGATATTAGACGACAAATGTATGGGCTTGTCGCGTAAAATCGATAAAATGCCTCGATATAAGTTTATCATGGCGCGCATCCTAGGTCTACAGGATCAGCTACGTTCTAGTAAAAATGTACTCACAGTGATAAGCGTGTGTGCAGACGGCGCGCCCTTCAGTATAGCCTCGGCGGCTTGTTGCGTGGCGCCCTTCTGCTCGGCACCTAGCCCTTTGGCCAGGTTAATACGTGACGCGAGTCTTCGAGCCAGTTCAAGTTTCCTAATGACCTCGATGGGAAGACTAGGAGCTGCTATGTTCCAGTAAAAGTGTGCTGAGACCCATTGTGTCGATGCTAGAAGTCGCTTAAAGGGCCTAAATGTCTACTCACAGTGATAAGCGTGTGTGCGGACGGCGCGCCCTTCAGTATAGCCTCGGCAGCTTGTTGCGTGGCGCCCTTCTGCTCGGCACCTAGCCCTTTGGCCAGGTTGATACGTGACGCGAGTCTTCGAGCCAGTTCAAGCTTCCCGCCGAACCCGCTAGAGATATCAGGCTAAGATGCGCGCCATGATAAATTCTGAGATGATATTAGACGACAAATGTATGGGCTTGTCGCGCAAAATCGATAAAATGCCTCGATATAAGTTTATCATGGCGCGCATCCTAGGTCTACAGAATCAGCTACGTTCTAGTAAAAATGTACTCACAGTGATAAGCGTGTGTGCTGACGGCGCGCCCTTCAGTATAGCCTCAGCGACTTGCTGCGTGGCGCCACGAGGCGAGTTTTCGAGCCAGTTCAAGTTTCCTAATGACCTCGCTGGGAAGACTAGGAGCGGCTATGTTCCAGTAAAAGTGTGCTGAAACCCATTGTATCGATGCTAGAAGTCGCTTACAGGGCCTAAATGTCTACTCACAGTGCTCGGCGCCTAGCCCTTTGGCCCAGTTAATACGTGACGCGAGTCTTCGAGCCAGTTCAAGTTTCCTAATGACCTCGCTGGGAAGACTAGGAGCTGCTATGTTCCAGTAACCGTAACCGCCTCTGTGGTCTAGTGGTAAGACCACCAGCTTCAGACGCAGAGGTCCCGGGTTCGATACCCAGTGGGGGCAGATTTTTCTGTTCGGTTTGGTTGGTGATAGGGCTTGTTCTAAGTCCGCCTGGCTAGCTACCACCATCTTACCTAAGTCTGTCGCCATAACAACAATGTTAACAGCATTATTGTGTTCCGGCAGTTAGAGGTAAGATAGCCAGTTCCTCCGTGATTGAGGATTCCGGGTGAAGCTCGCTTCCACCTTCAGCCTGATCGGTACTTACCATCAGGTGAGATACAGGCCAAGAGCTTCCTCGTTGTGGATAAAAAAAAAGTAAAAGTGTGCTGAAACCCATTGTACCGCTGCTAGAAGTCGCTTACAGGGCCTAAATGTCTACTCACAGTGATAAGCGTGTGTGCGGACGGCGCGCCCTTCAGTATAGCCTCGGCGGCTTGTTGCGTGGCGCCCTTCTGCTCGGCACCTAGCCCTTTGGCCAAGTTAATACGTGACGCTAGTCTTCGAGCCAGTTCAAGTTTTCCATCGGCTCCGCTAGGCGCTGCTGCGCCTGCTGGTAAGCCGGGAGCGCCCACGCCGGGCTAGAAAAAGAAGTTGTTAATTTAAAATCTTATATTTATAAAAGCGAAAGGTTACTGACTGACTGGTTTACTCACTCATCACTTAATCTCAGAAACTAGAAGTGCTAGGAGTCTCAAATTTTGCATGGGGGTTCCTTTTAGAACGTAGGTGGTGGAACGTAGTTCTCTTTCTTTTCAAAAATAAAGGAATGTTTTCTTTGAGTTTAGTTTTAAAATTTCTTTATTGACATAAATACGTAACAAACAAGTGAATAACAAAGATAATGTACATTGCTACAACTATAACATTCGCTAAACATTAATCTTACCAGGCTACTAGCGCCTCCAAAGATTTTACACACCAATGTTCATACTGATAAAACGTATTGTAAGTGCTAAATTAATCAATAAACTAGGTGCAACATTTTTATGATAAACATTGCTTATTGCTATCTATTTTATTAAGTAAGGCGGTAGATGTGCGCCAAAAAAAAACTTATTAAGCTAAAAAACGATTGACCAAACCGGAGCTAGCAACCAGTTCTTTGAGTAAAATTTTCTACCTACAGTATTAAGAGTACTTTCCCTCCAGGTGACATTACAAAATTCCACCCAGTATAGTTTCCAACATGGCTAAAATCGAAACCAGCGATCCGGTACTGATGGTGGCGCTCCCCTGTCAATGTCAGGGGTGGGAGAGTTCATTGTATTAGGTCTACAGGGTGTTAGGTAAATGGGTGTATGAGCCGACACTAGCCCATGTTAACATGGGCATATAACTGGTATGGTGTAGTCAGAAATTTGATATTATCATTTTATTTTTTTTAATTTTCATACAAAATAAATTTTATAAGATCCGATTTGTATGAAAATTAAAATAATTAAAATGAAGATATCAATTTTCTGACTTCACCACACCATTTATATGACCATGTTAACATGGGCTAGTGTCGGCTCATATACCCATTTACCTAACACCCTGTATATTACATGGCTACTTAAAAGTCATGGGATCAAACGAATGAATAGTGATAATGAAGATTAATTATTATAGGTTCTAATCTGAATCCAAGTCCCTGGGTGTTACAACATTTCACACGCTAGAAGAATAAACCAACCTTAATTTCCTTGACGATCTTCTTGGCGGCGAGCATCACCTCGATCTGTTGGTCCAGATCACCCTCAACGTCTTCATCATCCGAGTCTTGGAGCCCGAGGGCCGCCTTCTGGTATTTCTTCTTCTCTGTAGCCGCTTGGGCTTCGGACTCGTCGAATTTGAATCCTGGATTAGAATTGACGATAAAAGCTTCCACAGACCAAACGCGGGTCAGAAGCAGCGCGGGTCAGTTGAAGCGCGGCAGTAGGCACACTGAAGGCAGAGGCAGTTTCCAAGCAGTTGCAATGCGGGCGGTTGTAAAAAAATACAATATTCGTTAACTGCTTTCAACGCGCTGCACTGAACTGCTACCGCCCTGCCTCCGGTGTGTCATGCTAATATGGCCGCCATAGTAATACAACAACGCGGGCCCGCGCTCGCGCCGCTTCTGTCCCGCTCCCGCGCCGCCTGGTTTGTCGTTCGGCAGTTGCAGTGCGGCGCGGTTGGAGCGCGGGCCCGCGTTCAAATTTGGTGTGACACACTTCAAAGAGTTTCTTGTATTACAACTTGCGCGGGCCCACATTCAAACTGCGCTGCTACTGCCCCGCGTTTGATCTGCCGAAGCCTTAATAGTGAACTACGCATGTAAGAAACAAAGAATGCACGCAGCTTTTTTTTTTTTTAATTTGGGCATTTTGAATTTCAGAGAGAGCGCGGCGCAATCGGTTTACGCGTTGCTCCTACGTGATTTAGAATTTTAATTGTTGAAAGATTTTAGGTTGCTAACTATGTTTTCAATGCACGCAGCTGTGCAGTTAAATGTGCACGTGTAGCAATTTTATCATAGTTGTATCTGTATTCTATTCCATAATAATCGAATCATTTATGATTATTCATGTGGAACGAAATGTTCCTTGTGCTTACGAGTTTAGTTCAGAATTTCAGCTCTATGTTTCTTTTTACTCTCCTAAACTCGCTACTAAAACATCCATCCATCATCATCATCGTTTGCATCATCTTTCCCTTTCTATGATTTTTTTCTATTGTGCTTTACGGCTTTGGGTGCAAGCTCTTTTGAGCCAGTCGCTCGTTAAAAAAAATACTTTTGTTCTTTCTATGAGTACCATTAAAGTTGCGATACTTAAACAGGGGAAAATATCTCTTATTATTATTATCTTAAGTAACAAACTCCAATACTCACCTTTGCCACTAAATCCTCCACCAGTGTGCACCTTCTTCCCATCCTTTTCTTGAGCATCCTTATACTTCTCCCACAACTGGCGTAGCTCGACGGGAGGGGTGACTCCAGCGAGTTCGAACGCCCTTAACACGTCGCCCGCGTAGCGCCCTTGTTCTGGCGTTAGGAATGTCCAGGCGAAGCCCTTGTTGCCTGCTCGGCCGGTCCTGCCGCATCTGTGTGGCGAATGTTCGTTAGAATTGGCTATTGGTCCAAATATGTATAAAGGGATTTTTACACAGCAGAGTTGAACTTATTTACTACACTCGACATGTCTTAGAGTACGCTAGCATATTTTTAAACAGATACTTAGATATGTAACTACTATAAATTTCAGAAAAAAAACAGGATTTTGCCAACGTTTTCGCCTAAATCGAAGATATTTGATTTTTATTATTTGTAACTTCTTAAAAAAATTCAAATAAGGTCACTTTTGTGTACGTGGACAACATAAAATGATCAAAAAATCTAGTTTCCATGAGCTCGGATAATTTCAAAAATTGAAAATACCATTCAAAGGAGTAAGGAGTAGAACCCCCGCTTTATATAGTTTTTGTGAAGTATCGGAATTCCAAACAGAAACACTGTATAGAGATAGAAATGCGTTATCAAGGTAACAATAAATACACTATACGGTAATGCATTGTGTAACGCACGGTTGGAGTAACCAACCTTACTTTTTCACCCTTCCTCGCTCACCTATGCACATAGTCTTCATAATGGTAAGGGCAGTCGTAGTTAACGACCAACACCAGCTGTTTGACGTCGAGGCCTCTTACCGTTACACTGGTAGCCACTGATATTCTGCATATATGTATACATGATGCTCCTATCCCTACCTTAGTGTTTCACCATAAATTTAATATTCCTTCGGTATAGAGCAACAACCACGAGCTGTCAAACGAAACCGATTTTGAATGACACTGGATATAATTTGATTATTTCACTGTTTTGTACAATAAATCAATCACTAAACCAGTCACCACGTTTCTGAACAAAGCACTATTTCTTATAAACATCCACGATTTCACTCACGTAAAATTTGAAAATATCTCAGTTCAAATTTTCAGCGTGCCAATAAGTGCCTCCGAACTGTCAAATGCAAAAAACGGTTCTGTTTGACGTGCGGCGATGGCATCACGCATATCTTGTTATCACGCAGTGTTGCTGCTAGTGAAATCTCGCTCGCTCAGTTCTTTGTTGCTCTATTCCACTAGGTATATTAACTTTATGTGTTTTACTCACCTATGCACATAATCCTCGTAGTGGTTCGGGCAGTCGTAGTTAACGACCAACACCAGCTGTTTGACGTCGAGGCCTCTCGCAGCTACACTGGTAGCGACAAGCAGCTTCACCTTGCCCGATTTGAAGTCCACGATGGTGGAGTCCCTGTCGAATTGATCAATCCCTGTAACAGGCCAGCATTAATATATACGTCACTCACGCAAGCAAGCGTACAAGTGTATGCGCACAGCGTTGGGTTTAGTTTTTGGAGGCAGGGGCGCTGCTGTCGTAGTGTTGCTTATCACATGTCACAAAGTCAAAGTCAATTTTTTTTATTTGTTTAGACTAATAAATAGTTCTTACAAATCGTCATTTTGCTCTTAGGGAGCCTCTACATGTCTCATAATCTTTTTACCCTACCAGCGCTTTGAGACCAACATTTGGCAAGTGCTGAGAAGAAGCGCCGCAACAAACTCAGTCACCACTGTCTGCCGGTTAATATAAATAAATAGAAATAGCAGTAGTTGGTCCATTTGATTCAGGAGCAGTTCTCTAAATTTACCACTCATTCTTGTATGGCGTATTGGGTGATTTGTCATTTTTCACTCTAATAATAAGGTTTTTATTTATTTCGTCACTGTTTGATTCTATCGTACATATTGTATCAAGTTTCTTAGGTAATGATAGCTGTTACATACACGACAGAGCTCATAATCGTTTTACTGTCATATTTCACCAGTTTCAATTCATGACATAATATCATGAAGTTCATTAAAATGTCGACATATTTAGAAATGATACTGGAAGTAATTGTAATTTATCGAACTGAAAGGAAAATTGTAATAACTGAAAGGAAATATAATTAAGTATTTTTGTGAATGAAATTAAGGGAAATCATGTTTTTTTTTTTAAATTATAAAATGGCAACACGTCCGCGTACACTTGATACACTCAGAAAATAAAAACACTTCTGGAATCAAATAGATTTGTGAGTTATCTTCCGCTCGAACACTCGTTAGATTGCTGAAATAAAAATAGCTTAGTTTTAATGGACTGATTTTAATAAAATATCTGTATACTAGCTACCTACTATCTTAAATATTTTTTTTAAATGTTCATTTTGTGTGTGTTTAGTAATAAATTAGTAATATCAGAGCCACCGGTATAATATAGGTATAGCCCGACCAGGAACATAAAAACCCTCGCCATGTTGCGGAAAACTAATGGTACTAATTTCTTTTAATGGCAACAGTAACTGAAAACTTCATTGACATGTCACCTTGCATGTCAGTCTATTGCTGTCAAAGTGTAAACAAACTTTATTTTAAATGTGCGCAATTGATTATGTTAATTAAATTGCTAAAATCTTTTTATAGTCGTGAAAGAAAAGTGGTTCACAATGTGTTAAAGTATTTATCGAAGAGAAATACTAATGTTTCGGACAATATTTTCAATGAATAATGTTTCCGACAAAGGTTGTCAAATTGACTGACATGTTTATCGTATAGTACAGTCCACTATGAAAATTAGCTGTGGTTTGTTTCAACTATCTATTTTAAAAATTTTTGTCACTTTCTAAGTGTTGAATTTTATGGAATTGGGAAAGAAGTACCGAGTTTGATGCGTTCATGAGCAGACATTGCAGTTGAATATTCAAGTTCTGAATTTGATTATTCATGATTAATAAAATAAATCCTAATAGCTCGATTGATGGTTTCATTTAATTTATTTAAATCAGGTTACCTATAATAATATTTTTTCGTTAATTTATGAAAATATCAAATTAGCCCGTAATCCTGAATCCTGATACATAGAGTTAGCCAATTAATTTAACACAGGTACGACTGTACTCAGTGTTGCACTATCAAATGCAATTGTCGCGCCTCTATGCCAGGGTTTTTATGTTCCTGGTCAGGCTATACATAATGTACTATTTAAATGCAAGAAAAATTGGACTGCGATAGGAAAATATTTAAAATAACTGACATGCAAAATCTGCCTAGGGAACTGCAAAAAAAAAAACCATAGCCTTTTACTAAAACTCCGTTAAGTGATTGGCAAATCGAGTCAACCATCATCAAAAAATAATTATGCTTGCTTTTAAAATCACTTAGCCGACTTTTAGCTACAAATTACGCCCGTACTCACAAACATTAATATGAGGTCTCAGTGCGCGTGGACGCACAGAGTGACACATGAACCAATCACAGAGCTCTATTCAACGCTGTGCGTTCGATTTGCTGCTTCACTTAAGGAAGCATCGTTTGTGAATCCCCTGCAGACTAGGGACTTTTAGGCTAAGAACTCATGGAAAAGTCTGTAGTGCGTGGGGAGCCATCATCAATCCATAATTTTTAAGTGACCCCTATAGTAACACAACAGGAATTTTATTTGCATAGGGTTCACTTAAAAATTAGGGATTGATCGTGAAAACGGGCATTAGCAGATTTTTAGTCCCTACATCTAAATCACATTCAAATAAATGTAGGATTGTAACATCTATGGCGTAAATACTCTATTGTTTTAAACTCTTTGGATGAACGAACGAGTGTGAGCGAGACGAACGTACGGAGTGAGTGAGAAGGAAGGAAAGAGGACATGGCGGCAAGACGATTACGAGTAAAGTGTGGCTCTGTATTATTTTAAAGAAGAATAAACATATTGTTGGAAGAAACTGATTTTCCATACGAAGCCCCGTCCCTATATAAATATATCTCAAAAATCGAACTGACCTCCATGCAGGCTCATGCAGGAGTAAGAAGCCTTCATCAGGTCCTTGAGAAGACTGTCGGCATTCTCCTGCTTATCCACGAAGACTATAATGCTGCCCATTTGGCTGTACAGGCCCAGAAGTTCCAGAAGTTTGAAGAACTTCGCGTCTTCTTCTAGAATGGCCACGTGTTGCTCCACTTCTTTGCACACTACGCTTCTGCCGCCGACCTGCGATGAGTGAATTATTTAGGCTGAGTTACACCATCTTACTTTAACTTTGACAAACGTCAGAAATCTGTCAAACTCCATACAAAAACCACCGGTTATCGTTAAAGTTTGGTGGTGCCTTATTGTTTTTGGTTGATGTTAAAAAGAACTTAGACTTGCCTTTTCGAATCCAAATCACAAACAAGAATCAATACATATTTTCTCGTTATCATAAGTTAAAAAAAACATTGGAGACACGTTGCAAAGTGTAACATAAACTAATAATATAACTAATAACATAAACTAATATAACTAATAACTAAATATCAAATGAATAATTGTTTGATCTAATACAATAGGTATCTATTTTGTTTCACACAGGTTCATCTCTATCTTATGTTTTGATATGCTGAGAGGAAGTAGCACGAAGAACTCAACATCATTTTATGAAGTCATCATCATCATCTCAGCCATAGGACATCCACTGCTGAACATAGGCCTCCCCCAATGCTTTTCATGTTACTCGGTTGGAAGCGGCATGCGTCCAGCGCTTTCCCGCTACCTTTACGATGTCGTCGGTCCACCTTGTGGTTGGACGTTATGAAGTAAATACCTGTATCTCAATAGGTTTCTGCAGTATCCGCCGCGCTAGAGCCTCCATCTGCCGCGGGAAGGTAGCGCTAAACATCACCGTCTGCCGATCCGGCCGCACGTTGTCTATGATCTTCATTACCTGTGGACAGACATGTATGTAATGTATGGTAGGTAAATTGTTTACATACACACTTACGGGACTATTCCCACCGCTGTAACTCCTGTGTAGCCAGGATCTACAGCTTGACCGCCAATAAAAACCCAACCAGTGAAGGTCAAGTTTGTCCCGGGGGAAAGTTTAACCGCCTCTGTGGTCTAGTGGTAAGACCACCTGCTTCAGACGCAGAGGTCCCGGGTTCGATTCCCAGTGGGGGCAGATTTTTCTGTTCGGTTTGGTTGGTGGTAGGGCTTGTTCTAAGTCCGCCTGGCTAGCTACCACCATCTTACCTAAGTCTGTCGCCATAACAACCATGTTAACAGCATTGTTGTGTTCCGGCAGTTAGAGGTAAGATAGCCAGTTCCTCCGTGGTTGAGGATTTCGGGTGAAGCTCGCTTCCACCTTCGGCCTGATCATCACTTACCATCAGGTGAGATACAGGCCAAGAGCTTCCTCGTTGTGGATAAAAAAAAAAAAAAAAAAAAGTTAAACTGTCATTGGACCCGCAACGAAATTAATCAGAAGAGCATAGAGTTCGAAGTTAAGGTTCGACTTCCCTCCGTTGCAAAGCGGATGACAGGTGACTAACAAAGGTTTAGTAACCTTTATGAAAAGATATGCACCAATAAACATCAATTAAGGGGGGCCTATCTTATGAGCTATTAGCTACCTGCCAATGATATTTTTCGCTTAAAAGTACGGACATGCACACTTAGATGAAATAAATGTATGGGATTGGGAAGGTATACTTTATTTGCATAGAAAAAAAATCAAGTAAGTGTAAGTGTTGATATTGACAATCTATGGGACTATCACGAAACGAAATGCAATAAGACAGCGCTTAAAAAGTACGTTAATTTATTTGTAGTGAATAAAGTTCATATTCCTTCAGAATATAGCAACAACCACGAGCTGTCACACGAAACCGATTTTGGATGACACTGGATGTCATTTGTGTGTCAGTGGTCAGGGTTATATAGATGACCCACGCTGAACTGTCCCGCCAAACTCAATGACAGGGGGGCGCTACCATCGTTCAACTTTATGGTTTCCAACATGGCAAAAATCGGAACCAGCGATTCGGTATTGACGGTGGCGCCCCGCTGTCAATGTCATCGATAGGACAGTTCAGTATTTTGGAACTATATCAGTGGTTTGTATCAATCAATATCAATCACTGAACTGGTCACCACCTTTCTCAAGAAATAGGTATTTCTTATAAACATCCACCATTTTATTTTGTTGGTTGGTCACGCGTCCAGAATTGTCCTCCAACATGACTATCATGGATCCTATTCTGAAGGCATAAAGTTCAAATTGTCACTCACCTGTGGCTCAAATCCCATGTCAAACATTCGATCGGCTTCGTCCAATACAATGTATGTGACGCGTCGAAGGTTGGTCACACGCCCCGAGTTGGCCGCCAACATGTCTATCATGCGGCCTGGAGTACACACTATCATTTCTGCACCGCGTTTTAATTCTGCTATCTGTATATCGAAGTAGTTTTATTAAAAAAAAGTATTTCATAAAAGGATAAATTAAAAAAACTGAATACTGTGTACAATCGCGCTTAATTTCCGAATGTCGTTTCCATCCAAGTTTACTCCTTTGTTAAGTTTTAATCAGTATTGAGGACTACACATTTTCGACGTCCTATTTCTATAAAACTTAAATCTAGTCGCGGTCTTTTGAAGAACTAAAATTCACTAATAAAAATTAATCGTTCATCAGTACTTTAAAGTGACGTTTAGTATGGAAATGTAATTTTAAAACAGTGTTCAACAAAAGTGTAACTTTTTATAAGTAAGGGTTTAAGTATTAACATTGGTTGTTAGTGATTTAGATATAGATAGTCCCAAGAGACAACATTTATTTTAAAGCCCGGTCCGTGAGCACGTAGAATTTTGTCCAATGACCCCAAGCTACCCATCCTTATCGCTCGCGCGTAATTATATTGCTGTCGCGACTGTGCGACTGGCACCCGCAGTGAGTGTGCGAGCGCGATAGCAACATAATTACGCGCGAGCGATAAGGATGGGTAGCTAGGGGTCATTGTACAAAATACTACGTGCTCACGGACCAGACTATACAGCCTTGGCCAAAAGTATTGAGCACCCATGATATTTATTAATTTTGAAGGTATTATACATGTGTCTGAATAAAAACAGTTTTTAACAGTTTTATATTGTTTATTAACAACAAAAAATTAATACTTTGTTGGACCACCCTTTGCCTTAATTACTGCAGAAGTTATTTTTGGTAAAGATTGTACTAATTTATTACAATCGTCACATGTTAAAGCGTTCCACTCTTCCCGCAAGCGACGTTTTAGGTCTTCTTTTGTTTTTATTCAATGGCGCCGGACCTTGTCCTTCAATAGACCCCACAAATGCTCGATGGGGTTCAGGTCTGGTGACTGGGCAGACCATTCAAGCAGCTCGATGTTATTGTCACTAAACCAAGCCATCGTTTGTGACAAGGTGCGTTATCCTGCTGGAATTTGACGCTTTCCATGTTGGTGTCACCAAAAAGTGTTGTAAACGAGGGCAGAAGTGCGGATTCAAGAACGTTTATGTACTTTGTAGAGTCCATGCGTCCTTCACACACAAACATTTCCCTAACTCCTGCGGCGCTCATGCACCCCCAGACCATCACACTGCCGCCGCCATGTTTGACGGTAGGTACCTTACACTCCGGGGTAAATTCTTCGTCTACTCGACGACGGACAAATGTCACACCAGGTGTGCCAACAATCATAAAGTAACGAAATTTTGTTAAGTGTTTTTCGGTCCAATATTTATTTTTACAAATATAGTTTTATAATATTATTGTCGCGTATTGTTATTACATGATATTGGCTAACTTACCTCAAAGTTTGATTCATCTGACCACACAATATTTTTCTAATCTTCCTCGGTAAAAGTTTGGTATTTTAAAGCCTACTCGTAACGAGCTGTTTTGGTCTTTACTGAGAGCCATGGCTTCTTTCTGGCTGTATAGCCCTTAAGCCCAGCTTCTTGGAGTCTTCTGCGAGTTGTTCTTCCAGAAATCGGCGTATTAATTTCAGCTGATAACTCAGCAGCGAGGTCGGAAGAAGATTTTTTATGATTTTTCAAAGACTAACAATACTACAGTATCATAGCTAAACATCTCGAAACGTGTTTTATTGCACGTTGTGCCGTGAGTTTATGTTTCAAAACCTGTCAAAGAAAGGTTTTTATCAAATATCTTTGAGTATCTTTTATAGTTATCACGTATAAGCAGTATTTAGGGGGTGCTCAATACTTTTGGCCAAGGCTGTAGTCCCAAGAGACAACACAATAGACAACATTTTTGGCTTGATTGTTTGTGTTTAATACTGTATCTCGTGTTGATAGCCCAATAAAATAAATAAATAAATAAATTTACCAACCTGTTCCGATATGCCCGTGCCACCATAAACGCACACGACCCTCAGTCCCAAGGACTTCGCAAACTTCTTTATATCCTTCCCAATCTGCATGCACAGTTCCCTCGTAGGCGTCATGATGAGGGATATAGGCCCGTCTGTGTCCTCTAAAGGAGGCTGGTCCAGGACATGTCTGAACATAGGCAGGATGAAGGCAAGGGTCTTGCCTGAGCCTGTCTTTGCTATGCCTATTAGGTCCCTGTAAGGAAAATGGTGGTTGGTGTTTGGAAAGATTAGGTGCAATTGGAAATGTGTTCAGTAGCCTTATTCACGTAACAAAACTTCAACGACAACAAAACACTGAGTTGCGATCTTATCGAGTAATCGTTCTATCAAAATGACCCTTGTGAATACGGATTTAGAACTGTTTTTCATTGGGACGACGTAACAAAACTTCAATGACAACAAATCGCTGAGTTGCGATCTTATCGAGTAATCGTTCTATCAAAATGACCCTTGTGAATACTGATTTAGAACTGTTTTTCAATGGGACGACTTCTGAACGTCAGCGAGATCTTGACTGTCAAAATACGTGAATTAGGCCACTGCAGGTGGTTATAGTAACTACATTTATTTAATCTTCATTCTTAATACACTCGGCATCAAATAAATCGCACCTCCCGCGACAAGCACTTATCAAACGTATGCATCCCCACTTCCCACCAACGTTGGTACCATTTGAAAGCCTAGTTCTAAACTTCATTTCATTAAAGGAAAGATTTTTACCCCAAAAATGTGTCTTTACAAGGATCCAGAGTAACTTCTTCAAAAAAAAAGGTAGTTACGCTATAGCCATTTTTTATAACTATAAAACTGTTAAGTTGGGATTAATCGCTATCCATCTGTTAAAGAGGACACGTGAGATCTTTATTTGGTTTTATAACCATAATAATTGGTCTAATTGATCCCAGAGGTGAGCCCAAAGTGAGGTCTATTTTCAAGTCACATTTAAGGTATATGTTAATCATTTATTTAGAAATGAAATGTATTTTTCTTTAAGGATATTTATTGGGCTTTCAAATAACACCAATATTGTTGGGGTACCATGATTGTATCAGAAGAAAATCTTTAAAGTTCGCGTCGCGGAAGGTGCGGTTTATTTGATGTTGAGTGTAGATTCAGAAAAAGTCAATTAGGATAAATCCTAATAACGAATGATAAATAATCGATCAACGAAAACTGCTAGACAAAGGCCTCCTTCAAGGATTTCCATAATGACGGTCTGGCGCTGCCCGTATGTAGGTTCCTCCAGCGACCTTTACCAAATCGTCGGTCCAATCATATATACTCATAACCTATAAACGATGTATTTACCTTCCAGACATAATCGCAGGTATAGCCTGAGCCTGTATAGGCGTTGGTTTCTCAAAGCCCAGCTTCTTCAGTATATCCAGCTCTTTTTTGCTGATGCCACAGTGGGCCCAAGTCCTGATGGGCTTGGGGCAGCCCTTGCCCTTCACTCGGATGCCTTCCAGTTCTGTTCGATACGCCTCCACTTCGTCTGACGTCATCCTTGATAGTTCGTTGACCTAGAGGATAAAATAATATGGTTGAATTAAAACCTGTTTGAGATGTTTTGTTTTTTCTGTGCACTACAAACCCGGTATTGGCAACCCTTTCTTCAAGAGTTAGAGTATTAGGCATTAAGGGTCTAACTTAATGGAAATATATTTTCTTTAAGCAAATAGTCCTAACATTATGCTTTGATTGCCTACTGAAACAATATGGGTGAGATACAGAACATCTCACCATTGCTTGAAGAAATAACTAATCAAGAAATAATTAAAAGAAAGTATTATGATTGAAACCACACTTATTTGGTAAGAAGTTTATTGTGTAGGCTTGGTAGCCATCAAGTGATCAAGTAACAAAAAGGCGGGGAAAAGAATGACAGCTGTCAATCAACATAACCTCACTTTTTACATACACTACAGAAAGATAGATAGAAGAACACACACTCTCTATTTCGATAGATTACTAAGCTTGTTCTACGAGTTAAATAGACATGGAAATAAAGTTATCAAAAACATCCTGTATATCGTGTCATCCACGAAGACGCGTTCCACCAATTTTTAGTCGAGGGAAGTTTGATCCGAGCAATCCGAGCGTCATTATGTAGTGCATTCATGGATAATTTAGCGTGTACCGATAACACTCAAACATTAGCGCAGTGGTTCCCAAACTTATTTAGTCTACTGCCCACTTTGAGAATAAATTATTTTTTAGCGCCCCCCCTTTTTTGTAGTCAAAAGTCGAGCTCAGTCGATGTCTAAGAGTCCTCCTAGTAGATGACTGCCTCCCAAGCCTCTACACAACGTCCCGATTTTTTTTCTGGGGCTCTTACCGCCCCCCATTAAGCCTGCAGCGCCCACAAGGGGGCGTTATCGCCCACTTTGGGAAGGACTGCATTAGCGGAAGGATGTGAGTCGCGTCTTCGTGGAAAAAACGACCTATACTTACCTCTGTGTAGAATGCCTTCCTAAAAGGCATGTATTGAAGACTGGCATGGTCCACCTTAGCCAGCTCCTTCCTCTGTTTGGATGCGAGGTTCGCTGCTGCATCCTTTATATCCTCCGTTTCTTCCTCTGAGGAATACTCCAGACCGTCTTGGTTCTGTTCTATCAGCTCCCCTGTGGAAATATTAAATATTTTACAATATAGTTGGATAGAACAGACTTAATGAAATCCTACTACTATTATAAATGCAAAAGTTTGTATGGATGTCTGGATGTCAACATGTTTGTTACTCTTTCACACAGAAACTACTGAACGAATTTTGATGAAACTTTGCAGTATTATAGTATAGTTTATGACCCATAATAACATATAGGCTATAATTTATGACGATCTGTGCAAACTAAATTTCACGCGGGTGAAGCCGCGGGCAAAAGCTAGTACATGATAATGGAACCATTTTGGAATCACTTTTGATGGTGTTTAATTGTCTCTGGTAGTCATATTGTACAATGTTTATTCTAAAATGGATGAAAACACTAACTCAGATTCAATTCCAATCTGTGAGTCAAATAAATTTCATGGATGAATTTTAATGCAACAAGACGATGATTAAGATACCACATGTTTTAGGTAGTTTGTAGTTTGTAGGACATTTAAAAAATAATAAAACAAGTTGCATACCTTTGTTCTTCTGTTCCGTGACCTTTTTCTTAGCAGTTCCAGTGAGAATGACAATTCCAGTGCCACCTGTTGTTGGTACACTGATTATTCCTTTCGCTTGGTCCATCTGGTTAACTTTACGCACCTCCTAGCAAAATCGAAAAAAAAACAATTTAATAAATAATTATAAAATAATAATGCAATAGCAATAACAATGAGTCCTTTATTGAAAAAAAAACTGTTATTAGAAATAACGTATTTTTCTAAAAATCTGTAGGCTTAAGATGCGCACCGCGATAAGCATAATACATTGAACATACAAATGATTTTATCATGGCGCGCATCATGTGTTAAGGCGATTAGAGTCCTCAATGACCTTGGGCGTTTGACCTTCACGCCGCGAGCAACACCCGCGTACCCCGCACCAAAAACTCCGATTTGACACCGATCAAAAATACACGGGCATAGGTAGATACAGAATAGAAGCTCTTTCTTCATACATTACTGCCTATTATTTTAAACTTAAATTGATGAACCTTGATGTCGGTGTCATTTATCTCAGGCGTAAAGGTATTTAATAAAAATAACAAAATCCATGAACATTTTGTACGGGATAAAATTTTATTTTATTTTTCGTAAATTTTCTAATGCTTTTGTCGGTTCAGTCGTTCTCGAAATTTGAACAAACCCGACTTTATTACAAGCTTTTATTTAGCTTGCAATTTATGATGTATGTAGGTAATTACATAAATGTTTGTTCGGGTGGAATCTTGCAAGCTGAATTAGTTAGACCAACTTCCTGACGACAACTAGGCTAGATGACAAAATTTCAATTATTTGTCCGCCAGACAGATAATTAGAAAATATTAGACTCATATTTTTTATTTTCTTTCATAATTAAATAATAACAGTGCTACATCGAGTTGAAATGGCGCGATACGCCACGCTTGAGTAGAATTTTTACTCAAATGTGACGTCACGCGACATTTCAACTCAATATAATACTGTAATTATTCGATTATGGAAAAAAATAAAAAATATGAGTCTAATATTTTCTAATTATCTGTCTGACGGACTAAATAGAATTTCGATTTCATTACCCAGTCATCATCCCTATTGGAACGCATTAGTACCTACCTAGTATTGTCTATGGCCTAAAAAAGCAAATGTTTCTGCTTTTGTCTATCACTTATGAAGAATAAACTGAAAATGTATTTGTCTTTTTATTAGAAATCCTTCATCAATTGATTGAGTTCAAATTTCGGATATACATGTAATTCGGGTGACAATGCAATATTGTGATGACATGGAGCTGATCTGATGGTAGAGCTGGAATGCCAGTGGCCCCATAGCAACTCCGGGAATAAACGATTCCATCGAGTTTAGGCTCGTTTGATTTGTATTTATTTATTATTATACCTAAATAATTTCATTACAATTTTCTAAAAATGCACAAAAACTTAAAAATCTTGAAAACGGTGATATTTTTACTGGGGTCAAAATTGGACGTTAGGGAGACCATGGCGAGGCCTATCGATGGTTGAAGGGTTATCCATTGTTTTTGGGACACCCTGTATAAGCAAGTACCTAATGTTATGTAAGTAGGTACGCTACTTTGAAAATCATGAGTCTTCAATTCTCTAAGAGAAACTGCAGGGTCTGATGATGGAGCTGAATTACGCCGCAGTAAATTCCCCATCATAAATAAAAAGTTTTTTTTTAAAACAAGCTCTTTTATGCTAATAATTTTGGTTTCATGACATGCTCCTAAAACTCATCACCTTATAAGAGGATTTTAGTTTTTATCTGCGAAACTTTTTAATAATATAGGTACGTTTCATGGTTTGGTAATTTAGGGAAGTTTATTTGCACTTAACATGAAAAATATGGTATCAATGTACTGAGTACCTATGCACCTTCAGTGGCAACAACAAGGTCTACTGGGTACCTATAGTCTACTAAAGGCATGAAATAGATTAATTTTACTAAAAATTAAAACCAACTCCAAAACGAATCACCAAAAGGTAGGACACCGACACCGACTCCGAAAATGGCTAATTTTGTAATCAGTATCCAAATTTTTAATAAGCTCTATAGAACAATTCAATACCACTTTATCTTAATTTTTTTTAATGTGACAGGAGGCAAACGAGCAAACGGATCACCTGTTGGTAAATGATTACCGTCACCCATAGACACCCGCAGACCCAGGGGCGTTACAGGTGTTATTTTTAATTGTGGTATTTTCGCGAAGAAACATATTTAAAATCTAATTCTAATAAGTATGAAAAATATAAATTGTTTTCTTCACGTAAATCGATTAAGTTACAGATTCTGACTAGCTCCTAATTTGGATACTGATTGCAAAGGCCTAGTAAATAAATAACGTAATAATTTTTCTACTTGTATTTATCTAGTGCAGTTGTTTTGGAGTCAATTATAGTTTTTTTACACTAATAGATTCTATTCAGGTAGAAAATAGCGTCTGAGCGCGTCATAATTCAATTGTATTGTCTGACTGCACGTACTCTATGAACAATTCTGACATAAAATCTATTGTCGAACAAAAGCTGGGTTGCACCATCTTACTTCAACTTTGACAAGCGTCAAAAGTCTGTCTAACTCCATACAAAAAACACCGGTTATCGCCAAAGCTACGGTCAAAGTTAGGTCACGTCAGGTGGTGCAACTTAGCCAAAGAAAAAATTCATTTTGATCGCTAATGTCAGTTTGTAGCGAGTGACACAACCTCCCCGTCTGAAGGCCAGCGGCCGACTGCCGCCCGCACCCCGCGAAGGCCCCCTCAACAGCAAAACGTTCGGAATTTATCAAAAGTAAAATTTATGAATGAAAGTAATGTTCGATTGAAAAACGCAACGTGTCATTTAAAGATTAAAGAATTCCCAATCTATTCGTGCAAAAATCTTTTAAATTAACATAGCCGTTTTGGAGGAGTAGGGAATTTAAGTAAAAAATCGATGTCCCGTATTTATTTTTTTAATCCAAAACAAAGAGACGTAGCGAAAATTCAAACGTCACAAATGTAGTCCTTGAACTGTTGTATAACATATATTTTTTTCAACTATTTCTGTCCAGCAGTAAAAGAGGAGTAGGCTTTACAAAATGCCCATTTGGCGCGGATTGAGGACACTAATCGCCTTAAATGAGGGTTTTCGCGTATGAAAAATCCGCCAGATGGCAATACGTAGACGTGAGGTCCAAATGCTGCATGATTGGTTATTTTTGACATGACATTGACAGATATGTCAAAATCCACCAATCACGCAGCAGTCAGACCCCACATCCACGTCCCGCCATCTAGCGGATCTTTCATACGCGAAAAGTAAGAAATGAAGTCTCATTACCTGTTGCACTTCTTGCATATACGCATCTAGAGGATCAATTTCGTCTTCTTTCTCTTTCTTTTCTTCGGCAGCTTGTTTCTCTTTGGATTCACCATCTTCACCTAAAATAGCATCAATTATTGTTTTTGTGACCATATAAATTCTCATTCTAATTTCAACATAATTGATTACAATAGAAAATACTGACACACACACAACTATATTTCTAAAGCCTGGTCTGCGAGCACGTATGATTTTGTCTAATGACCCCAAGCTACCTATCCTTATCGCTCGCGCGTAATTATATCGCGCACAGTCGCGACAGCAATATAATTACGCGCGAGCGATAAGGATGGGTAACATGGGGCCATTGGACAAAATTCTACGTGCTCGTAGACCAGACTATAACAATAACTTAAAAAAGGTTATGGATTTCTGTACCTTCGTCCCCAGAGTCATCCTCTAAAGACCATTTTTTAACAGCGGGCACTTGAATGTTTGAAACGATGCTGCCTTTCTGCACCTCCTTTTTAGCGGACTCCAGTTCTTTGCGTTTGCGCTCAGCGCGCCATCTCTCGATGCGATCGCGACGCTTTTGCATCTCTTGTTCCAATCTGCTCTGTTCTTCTTCCTAAAATTTATTTATTGCACAGACATTATAAATAACTATCTTAAAATACTCAGCTCAGTGATAAGACCATGGGTTAAACTTAAAAATAAATAAACTTAACTATTCTTCATTATACAAGATTTTTAAGAACCAAAGCTCTGACAATAGGGATGTTTCCTAGGTAAAAAAACAAAAGTTTTAATTAGTCCGTCAGTTAGCCTATCAAAAACTACTCGACACGTATTTTTCACTTTTTAAAACTAATGAAAATGTAAAGAGATAAAGCATGCCAAAGTTCTAAAGAAAAGGCCCGTGACGTCAGTGAGTGCGTAAAAGTGCAGCACTTTGTGACGTCGCGCGGAACTTCAGCGCACTATAACTTTGTAATTATTTGTTTGATTGACAATTCAAAATGTACGTGTGCAATATTTTTTTATATTAAAATTGACGGACTAAAAAAATTTTTTTAGGAAACTAGCCTATTGCAATGGTTATGAAATAAAAAGATATAGTAAAAACTATAAATGACCAGGCTTACCAGTATTAACTTAAAAAGCTGAAAAGATTTTAAGACTTCTTATTGTCTGTGCAAATTTTAATCAAGGAATTTTTTTTCTTTATTTGATGATGTTGAACTTTGAAGGAAGAGTTAAAGAAAAAGAGAGAAGAGAAAAATTAAGTCCTATGCCCGTTTTCACCATCAATTTTATAAGTGACCGCTAACAAAACAAAATTCCTGTTATGTTACCATAGGGGTCACTTAAAAATTAGAGAGTATCCTAAGACTAGGACTTAATTTTAGTTGAAATATAAGACTGGCCTGGCATATGTGTCCCATTCATGGGATTTTTTGGCAGAGCTAAAAAATCCCATGAATGGGACACATATAAGAAAGCTCTAACCAAATATAACACTGAGATCAGGAAAGCAAAGAGAGCATCGTGGAGGAAACTGTGCGAGGATGTCGAAAGTCTTCCTCGAGCAGCAAGACTCCAAAAAATGATCTCCAAAACTCCTGTTAGGCAGATTGGGCTTCTGAAAAGACCCGATGGAACTTTCACTTCATGTGAAAACGACACATTGGAGCTGCTGGCAGCAACCCACTTCCCTGGATCGGTGGGCAGCAATTGCTCGGCGACTACACATAGCAACCTTCGCAGGCCGAAGAATGACGACTGGCGGAGGGCTGCTATAATCATAAGACCCAACCAGGTAAAATGGGCCATCAGCTCCTTTAAACCATATAAAGCGTGTGGCGAGGACAACATATTCCCTGCTCAACTGAAGGAGGGGATGGAAANAATGTCAACAAGGAAGGCGGAACCAGATCGAAGGCGACTGTTGACAGTAATGGACCAGCTCAATATTTATTCGACGGCACAGTACTTCCCGGGCAGATTCAACTGCGAAGTTCCCATTATCCCTTGGCCAGGCCTGCCCGGAGTGGAATTTGACCGAGGAACCTCGAATGTAATATTCCAGATGTGGGAAACGCCGGAAGTGGACTTGTTCGCATCGAAGACGGTTCACGTGGTTCAGAGGTACGTAACGATACAATTTTTTACAACGCCTCCCTGCAGCAGTGGGATTACGACCTGGCGTGGCTGTTCCTACCGCCGAATTTGATTCCCCAAGTACTGTCGTATCTCAACACGGCGAAAGGTCCGTATGTTTTGATCACCCCGAAGGGGCACTGATCGCCTGTAACTAAAGCTGTCGTTTTAGATCCAAATTTAGGCCACAGAAGTATTGAATCGCCTTCGTCCACGCACGACTCTGGGTCGATCATCAGTAGGGTACGATAGTGTACTCTGCGTCCCGATGCTAATAGCAATAAAATCGCAGCACTTCGGGATAACTGATATAAATTACTAAAATCAGGTGCACTATTTTCCGAGGACAACATATTCCCTGCTCAACTGAAGGAGGGGATGGAAATCCTCACTCCACATCTGGTCAAAATCTTCAGAGCCAGCTTGGCCTGGGGACATATACCGGAACGATGGACCACAGTAAAAGTCATATTCATTCCAAAGGCTGGCAGAAAGGACTACGCCTTGCCAAAGTCCTTTAGGCCAATAAGCCTCTCATCCTTCCTCATGAAGGTTATGGAAAAGGTAATGGACATCTATATTAGGGACGTAGCACTTGTCTACGCATCGTCTCGACTCGCCCTCCTGCTGCCCACATCACTACGTGCGCCGGAAGCCGGGCACAGCACTACAGCGGTCTGCGCGGGCAGTGGGAGGGGCGGCTCTCGGGAGCCGACCACTTGGACTTCCGCCCTCCGCGAACGCGCGTCGCGCAGCTTTGCATTTCTTGATTTCTTGTAATAACATGAAGAACTAAAAACGAAACCTATTCACCACACACAGCATGCCTTTTTTTTTTTTTTTTTTTTGTTAGGGAATGCTTTGCGCATGGGCGCAGGCTGGTGGGGCCAGTGACTCAGTGGGCTATAAAGAGCACACCTACTCTTTGCATGACTTCTGACATCATGGTTCCAAGTTGTAGCTTCCAAAAGAACTACAAAGTGGAAATACCACACAGGGAGGACTGGCTGAACAAGCAAGTCACCTGTGAGAAGGGCAGCCTTATATGGTTTACTGATGGGTCAAAAATGGGCCCTAACGTAGGCTTTGGCGTGTATGGAGAGCAGCCGAAGCTTAGGCTATCTCAAAGCCTGGGCAAATTTGCCTCTATCTTTCAGGCAGAAGTCTACGCCATTATTGAATGTGCGGAAGCTAACCTGCGAAAAAATTATGCCAACCACATAATTTACATTAACTCAGACAGTCAGGCCGCGCTGCTGGCCTTAAACTCCAACTTAATCACCTCAAAGTTGGTAGAAAACTGCATGAGTCGACTAAATACTCTAGGAGAACGAAACAGAGTAACGCTGAGATGGGTTCCAGGTCATGCGGGAATCGAGGGCAATGAAAATGCCGACGAACTAGCCAGAGCGGGAGCGGAGGGAACACAATATGGTCCAGAACCCTTTTGTGGTGTTCCCAAAAGTCTCGCTCGAATGACCCTGGAGAACATCTATTTAAACAAATCCTTTATGGCATGGTCAGACACGCCAGGATTAACTCATTCCAAAGCTCTCATAAAAGCCTATGATCGAAAAAGCTCTAAGCAGATCATAGGACTGAGTAGGACCAAAATGCGCATCTTAGTTCGAGCCCTCACTGGACACTGCAGCTTAAACAAGCACTTGTCCACTATGGGACTGTCCGAAACAAGAACGTGCAGGATGTGCCAAGAGGCAGATGAAACGCCACTACACATGCTCACGGACTGCGGACCTCTGATGCGCAAGCGGAGCTTACACCTGGGCAAACACATCCTAAGCCCACAAGATGTAAAACATATCGCCCCCCAAAAGATACTGCACTTCCTAATGGATGCAGGACTCGGAGGCGAACTGTAAGGAAAACAGCGGCGATCACAATAGATCGATAACGGTCGCAGTGATACTAGGACTTTATTGAACTAGAATAGCCGCTCAACACAAATAAAAAAAAGACTGGCTTTAAATATTCTTCCATAGAATTTGAGGGCAAGTAGCCTACTTATTATCTAAAATAATAATTATTCCTTAAACTAATTACATAAACATGAAAAAAGTACAAACCTTATCAGCAGATCCAATGTCATATTCCACAGGTTCATTTTTGACTGCCTTCTCTCTCGACTTAGACCTGTCTTTGTCTGGGGACTTTTTCCTGGACGACTTACTACTGGTTCCATTCCGTTTGTCATCCCGCTTGTCACTGGATGAGTATAAATATAAAATAAATAGTAATAGAAGGCACATAGAGGTCAGAACATTATCCTCATGGTATAAAACATAAGACTGTCATAGTCAAGCGACATGATAGAAATACACAGACCAGACTGAGAATGTCTGTATACAGGTCTCTAAATATACAAACCAACTTTCTAATCATTAAATCTTCTAAATATATAAAAGGAGAAACTGACTGACTGACTGACAGATCAACGCACAGCCTAAACGGCTAAACGTAGGCACTTGAAATTTGGAAGGGACGTAGCTTAGGTACCGTAGAGGTGCACTAAGAAAGGAATTCCCGAAATTCCCACGGGAACGGGAATTAGCGGGAAAAACGGGATTCACGAGTACGAAGTCGCGGGCGGCCGCTAGTAAAGCAATAAAACTTGACAAAATACCTCTTACGATCCCTGTGACTGTCTCTATCTCTCTTAGATTCACGGTCTCTGCTGCGACTACGCTTCCTCTTAGAAGACTTGGAGCTCCTGTCACGACTCCTGGAGCGGGATCGTCTCCGTTTTCGCTCTGGAGTTGCTGATCTACTAGGAGAGCGTCTACTACGTTCGCGATCTCGGTCGCGGTCACGCCTAAACAAACGGGAAATTAATGATTTTTAATACAAGATTGATAAATTAAATTGCATCACAGACAAAAGCGATTTTACTCACCCACTCCTAACCATGATTTAATCAAAATATGCTGGTTTTACTATCACTATGGTAAATATTTCATGAAATCAAACACGACACGCGTGCTGACATTTTGTTGACTGCCAGAATTTTTTTTTATTGACAAACGTCATTCACCACAGATTATAGATGACTAGTGATGTACTAGTTGACATATCTATTCAAATGAGCTATAGTAAATTGAGCTCTGCATAAGTGGCTCAATCAACTGTCTACCAATGCTAAGCTTTATTTTCTAATCGAGAATCGAATAAAAAAGCAAAACGTCAGAACTGAACGCCAGTAAATATAACCTAAAAATTTGTTAGCGCAAATAACAAATAAATACTAAAAATAACATAATTTCATAACTTATTTTCTGTGAATAATACACTATAACAATGGCAGATGATGGAGAAAATGTAAGTAATTAAAAAGGAATGTAATAAAATTACTGATGCATTTCTGTATGGAATAAAATGATACCATTGTTTATAGTTCACCGGTTTTGTATTTTTATTTTTAATTTAATGCTTTGGTTTTTGGCTTACTTACTTGCTTTTATCCAGGTTGGATAAACCAGCCACATACCGATTTTTGTAAAATAACTTTTTTTGTGTATTATTGTAAGCCAAAAGATATTATTTCTATCCAGCATGGTATTTATTACTTAAAATAGTATATTGTTTATCAAATTAAAATTATCTTTATTTACAGGTTTCTGTTATGACAGTGAAGGAGCCCCTAGATTTAATTCGACTCAGTTTAGATGAACGGATCTATGTGAAAATGAGAAATGAACGTGAACTTAGAGGCAAGCTTCATGTAAGTATACAAATCAGAATTATATAAATTGATTGATAAGTTTTGCGTTGCTTGGCTGTAAGCCTTTTCATTATTATTATAATTACAGCAAAATTATGCTATCATTTCACAGCATTGAATGAGTACTCACTTTTGAATGTAATAGAATGAAAAGGATATATTATCTTCTATACATCCTTAAAACTTTTTCATAACCCTACATGTCTGATAATATCTAAAATTAAATTTTATCGATTACATATATCTTTCCAGGCATATGATCAACATTTGAACATGGTTCTCGGTGATGCAGAAGAAACCATAACAACGGTGGAAATCGATGAGGAGACCTACGAAGAAGTATACAGGACTACTAAGAGAAACATTCCCATGTTGTTTGTGAGAGGTGACGGTGTAATTTTAGTGTCACCACCTGTCAGAGTTGGACTTTAATTCTTAGCATATTTTTTACACAGCAAGTCTGTCCTGACAATGGTGTTTCAGTTTAAAAGCAACTAGAGGGTTCAACTTAACACTGAATAGGGGCCATCCATAAAGTACGTCACACGAATTTCATGATTTTTTTACCCCCCCTCCGTCCTTGTCACAGGTGGTCACATTTCTGAGACCCCCCCCTCCCTAGTGTGACGTCACATGTTTTGCAATTTCACATCGAAAAATTATTAAATTAACAGCAATTAGTTTTGTTTCCATTTTAATTAAGTACTTTTTTTATGAAATCAACATTATATCAAATATTTGAAACAATTGAAATGTGATGTCACGAAACTTAGGACCCCTCCCACCCCTTGTCACACCATGTCACACTTTGTCAACCCCCTCCCCCCCCCCTTTACGTGTGACGTACTTTATGGATGACCCCATAGTACTAATTCTTAGCACAAGAGTATTACAGTATAATGTAGTATTAAGTATGTATGTATAATATTAGTGATTGGAACATGCAAATATCTTTTCCGAAACATGGATAATATTATTGTTTATTACAGTCCATAATATAAAATTTTGTGCTTAGACAGCATAATAAAAATTACCAAAATTACATACATGACTTTCAAAGCACAAGTGTGTGGGAATGGGGGTTGATATCTTATTTTAATTTAATATTGTAGTAACACCTATCTTAAAACATTTAAAAGCTAGTGGCAGAGCAGGCCTTTTGCTAGTGACAAAACTAAAAACTACAATTTGTAATGGTGCTTTACTCTCTTTAATTAAAAACTGGACTGTAAGTTGTAGTTACATAGCAATTTATGTATAAAAATCATAAATCTTTACCATGCTGTTATGGTGACTTGTTGTGAAGACATTTTTAAGTAATAAGTGAAAATAAAGTTAAGTCTATTATGTAAAATTGTATTTTATTTATTATTGCCCTTAAATTTTTATTATGTAATAATGTATTGACATGCCCATATTTGGTTTCTGTTAAGTATGTATCTGTCAACGTGAAATTATGAACTCTGTCAGTTTATAATATAACGCGTTAGATTGTACTAACAGTGGGTTAGGTTAGGTTAGATTGTAATTTAACTTCGTCAGATTATAATCTGACGGAATTCACAATTTTACGGTGACATATCCATGTTACCAAATATGTTACCAAAAATGCAATATCTTTTTATTTTTAGTAGGTATTTTACTTTCGCTGAACAAATAAAATAAATGTACTAAATTCAAATATAATTTAATATCGTCATTCTATATTCTATTTTATTTTATAAAATTATAACACTTGACTATGAAAAAGTAGATAGTAAAATTTTATTTGACACTCACTAATAATAATAATAAGAGACAATAAATTGTATTACAAATTCAAGTAAAAACACGGCCAACAAATTAACTGTAGTCAATAGTAAAATAATATAGGCAATCACCTATCTTTTAGTAGTATTGAATATCTTACAACTATAAGAACTTAAAGACATTTACAAAGCTCTTAATTTTTTTCTATCTTAACTAGTATACTATAGTTTAAAAGATAACATTAACAACGTATGTACAATTTCGGTAACTACACTTACGCGTATTCACAAACATTACTATGAGGACTCAGTGCGCGTGGACGCACAATGTGAGGGTGACATTATGAACCAATCATAGAGCTCTATTCAACGCTGTGCGTTCAATTTGCTGCTTCACTTAAGAAAGCATCGTTTGTGAATACCTACTGGCGTTATAAATATAGGCATTTTGCTCTAGGAAGCGAAGCGTACCACGTCGGCAAACACATACAAGGGGCAAATTTCTAGCTTGCAAAGTTAAAGTATAGATTAAATATCCTAGGACAACGATACCTCCATTCACACTTTCACCGACTGTCCAAAAACTACACTACAATTGGCTAGATATTATCAAAACTTAAGGGTATAGGTTCGGCCGATAACTCAAAACTTGTCTTTTTAATATGAAATTGCAATGTCCGATCCTATCGATGTGTTTCAAAAGGCAAGGACATGCAATTATTCAAGTCTTAAAAACGCTTTCACATTGGGCTACTTATAACTGCAAGTTTTGCTGAAACTACAGGCCGTGTAAGCCGCACCTAAGTGCTTGCAGTGCTGTGATAAGCGACTTAATATGAAAGCGTTCTTACTGCAAGTATTACAAGTTTTAGAGCACCTCCACACTTGTGAACGCGTAGAAAATATTAGAGTTCAGGCCAAAAAGACGTATAAACAAAATCTCTAGTATTGTAAAATAATAATACTCGTAGGTACATTAAGTTACATAGCTTTAAGTAAGTATTTTATAAAGTCATTTTTATTTATACGTCCAGTATGCTCGGATATTTCAAAGTGGTTCGGCCGACCGTGGGCCTATACCCAAACTACACCGGGGTGTATCCCACTATTTCCATTGATGGGAAAACTAGGATCGTTTGTCCCACTAAGTAAGTATTTCCATTGCGGTTCAGCAAGGCGACTGTCGCGCTTTAGGTAGTCACTTCTCGTGTGTTATAAAGCGTGATAAAGAAACGTTTGTTCTACCCAGTAGCGTAAATATAGGGTGGCAGGGCTGGCAAATGCCACGGGCCCCCGACCCAAGGGGACCCCGGCCCAAGACCCTAATCGCAAACGCTCTGCTTCAGGGCAATGATCCCGGGGCCCCCCTGAAAAAGAACCCTAGATACGCCAAGGGCACCATTCACACAATTTGCCACAGGCCACGGATGGTATAGTTACGCTTACGCCACTGGTTCCACCTTTAGCGCACCATTATGTATTGTGAAAATACTCTTACCATTGCGATTTACAGTCAAAACTCATAACTGACTAACGCCCTTGGTCAAAACCACTTTTGACTGGACAAATAAGTCAAAAGTGATATTGACCAAGGGCATCAAACAATTTTTGCGGTCAAAAGTGGTTGACTGCAACATAATTATACCTTTACTAAAGCCCGGTCTCTGAGCACGTAAAATTTTGTCTAATGACCCCAAGCTACCCATCCTTATCGCTCGCGCGTAAATACATTACTGTCGCGACTGTGCGACGGGCGCCCGCAGTTAGTGTGCGAGCGCGACAGCGACTTATCTACGCGCGAGCGATAAGGATGGGTAGCTTGGGGTCATTGGACAAAATTCTACGTGCTCAGAGACCAGACTATAGTAGCAATTACATTTGGTATTTCTATGGAGTTATAGGAATACACCCTTCACAGTAAACTACGTACTGGATGACTCAGTGGTAGTCTGGTCGGAGTTCTGGTTTGGGGGCACGTTCTCCTGGTCGGCGCCCGAAGCCCGTCCCCGCTTGCCTCGCTGACGGTTTTTGTACAACTTCGCTTCGTCTGTGCACTTGAGTGTTATGATTTGCCTGGAAATTAGAAAGAAATGCTTATGTTATGTTACAGTGCAGGATCCTATAATAGAGAAATCATAAAATTACTAACTAACATTTAATACTAACTCACATTCACACACACTAAAAACCTATTTTACATACACTGATACTCATAAGAACACTAGCGCACTTATACTGCGCACACATCGCCAACAAACCAATAAAATTAATAATAATAATACCATCCCGCATGACGAAAACCTCGTGAAGGCCGAGAAGGAAAAGCAAAGCAAATACCTTGACTTGGCCCACGAGGTGACCGCCATGTGGGATGTTGACTCGACGATCATTGTCCCGATAGTTGTCTCGGCAAACGGGCTAATAGCGAAGAGCTTCGACCAACATCTAAAGAAGCTCTCGCTGGATGGTTGGCTCAAGGGTCAGATACAAAAGGCGGTGATCCTCAGCACGGCACGCATTGTCCGGAGGTTCCTCAGCCTGTGACCCTGACCACCGGTAGCTTGGGCCCTGCTCCGCTACCAGCGGAATAACTATTTTTAAGTATTTTTTTATAATGTATTTTTATTTATTTTTTTTGATAATTTACACTGTAAAAAAATATTTAAAATTAAGAACCAAAGTTAATAAAGAGAATAATAATAATAAATAACTTTATTGTGTCTTTAACAATGCACATGGTATCTTAACGAAAAAATTACATTTAACAATAGGAGCTGTATTAAGATAGGGATCATTAACGTCTATACTAGTTACATTTAAACTGTGTGACAGACGCTAATTCTTCCACCAATTTAATTTCACAGTTGTAATTTAGTTGATGATGCCAAACATAATTTTAATTAAGTACTATACCTTTTGGTAAATAGGTACCTACTTGTGAGTGTGTGAGTGTCGTGTGTGTGTGTGTGTGTGTGTGTGTGTGTGTGTGTGTGTGTGTGTGTGTGTGTGTGTGTGTGTGTGTCGAGTGTGTGTAAGAGAGAGTAGAATATGTATTTGAAATTGTACGTACGTGTGCAGTGCATATTAAAACAAGTGAGTGTGTAAGAGAGAAAGAAGGAAAGAAAGAAAGAAAGAGCCCTGCGATGTAGATCTTGGGATCGGTTTTATCTGTAAAAGATAGACAACCACTCAATTTTCTCTCTATAACTGCAATCAATTATGGCGACTTTATGAGATTCTCTGTTTCGTGAAATGTGAGATCTTGCAACCAATTTTTCAATGTAATTTTGAATTTGTTACGTGGGTAAGTGTAAATATCAAGGATTTTGTTTATTTTGTTGTAAAGGAATGAACAACGCACATAGTATTGTCTACTCGCAAGAGCAGTTCTATGAGGTACACTGTGACATACTCTGTGTGTCGTGCGTCGGTTTTGTAGGGTCACGTCTAAGGGAAGCGAGGAATGTTTGCGTAACATCAATTGAAGCACATAAAGCTGTCTCACTGAAAGGACCTGGCAATTAGCATATAATTGAGCAGTTGGATAACGGTATGGTTTCCCGGTCATAACTTTTAAGACAGCTCTCTAATTTCGACTCATGTTTATTTCCATTTAACGTAAAATGTAACCATCGATGTTGAGTTTACAATTGTTAAGATTCTTTTTTCATATAAGTTTTAGTTTAAGTTTATTGTAAACTTGTTTGTGGTTCATACAATAAATAAAAAAAAAACAAAAGTGGTAACAATTTCAATGTAAGATGAAGTAATAGATGAGCTTTTCTCGCCTGAGACACAGGTTTTAACCTAGTTAAAGTAGTAGTTTACGTTAAAAAAGACCATGATTAAGGAAATGTAAACTCTAGTACCTATATCGCTCTTAATTTAATTAATAAACAATTAATTCATCTATACTAATATTATAAATGCGAAAGTAACTCGGTCTGTCCGTCTGTCTGTCTCGCTTTCACGCTTAAACCACTGAAGCGATTTTGATGAAATTTGGCATAGAGATAGTTTGAGTCCCGGGAAAGGACATAGGATAGTTTTTATCCCGGTTTTTGAAACAGTGATGCGCGCGATAAAGTTTTTCTGAACTATCATTATCATTCATATTCAATAAATAATGAATAAATAGGTATCTCATACACACAATTCTATGAACCAGGATTTCTGGTTTACCTTTCTGAAATACCTTTGTTCTTACATACTGTACCAATATGGCAAAGATATTCGATCGTTATTCTTACCTTACCATCCGTTCGTTCACTCGACACCGCTGCATTACTATAATCACGATGTCTTCAACCAGTTCAGGGTCCAGCTTCTTCTTACCAGGCTTATCCAGGAAGGCCGGGGACGGCTTTCCTGTTAGCGAGTGAGTCGCCAACACCCTGGAAAATAAACACAAGGTTATATTAGTACCACAAAATAACTAATGATGTCATAATGATCATTTTTAGAGAACAATTTTGTGTCAAAATTATTATTTAACCGATAAAATTGAACTCGAGAACTTTGAAACATACCTACTCGTAACTAATTCAGTACTGCGGGGAATAAATAACAGATTATTTTAGTGTTCAAAATTAATTAAATTATTACATTATTCATCAGAATAGCAGAAAAATACAAAAATATGCGAACGTCTAATGTTTCATACAAAAGACATCAACGCGTTAAGAATCCACTACCTACTATAATATTAAAAAACTTTGGTTCAAAACAGCATAGAATTCCTTACTTCCGTGGAAACACTGATTGCAATAGTTGCCTGGTGGCCGTCGTATAACAAGTCCAGTCGATCTTTTCCAGAAGTCTAGCTGGCACCAGGGCCCGGCCATTACCGATGGGAACCTGAAATCAAATTAAGATTTTTGTAATCTAAATATAAAAGGAGAAACTGACTGACTCACTGACATATCAACGCACAGCCTAAACGGCTAAACGTAGGCACTTGAGATACCGGAGAGGTGCACTAAGAAAGGAATTCCCAAAATTCCCACGGGAACGGGAATTAGCGAGAAAATCCTTTTGTATGAAAAATCTAAACCGCTTAAGTTAGACGCTTGAAATTTGGCATGCAGGTACCTTAGTAAACTAAAAGCTTAGTTACAACAGGATATTGCAAAATTCCCACGGGAACGGGAGTTAGCGGGAAAAAACATTTGTATGAAAAAATCTAAACCGCGTAAGATAGATGAAGGGGGTAAAACGGGAACCACGCGTACGAAGTCGCGGGCGGCCGCTAGTGTTTATGTATCTTTATTATGTGCTCTTTCTAGGCATAGAAGACCATCAAGACTTACCATCTCTCCTCTCTCTCCTCTCCTTGATGTTGTATGAGCTGAAACTCTTCGCACTGACACTATCCTGGACGGCCCAGGCATATTTTCGTTGATTAATCGTTGCAGATCATCTTCGTCACCTTGGTCATCTCTTTCGACCCTTTCGACTACCCCTACCACAGCCTGTTGAGGAGTGGGAATCCTTTGTACCGATGGTGCCGGAACAGCTATGACTGGGGGAGATATCCTTCTCGGTTGTTCTGGTGGAGGCAGCTCCGCATCTGCTGGAGGTACCTCAGCATTTGCTGGAGGTATCTCTGCATTTACTGGAGGAACCTGCGCATTTGCTGGAGGTATCTCTGCATTTACTGGAGGAACCTGCGCATTTGCTGGAGGTATCTCCGCATTTACTGGAGGAACCTGCGCATTTGCTGGAGGTATCTCTACATCTACTAGAGGTAGCTCCCTATCTACTGCAACTACTGGAGGCTCTGGATCAGGCGGCGAGTTCTCATCATTTTCAGACTGATTCTCAGGAGATTCATAATTCATCGGATAATGATCCGATTCCGCTCCAGACGAGACGTCCTCTGGAAGATCGACTGGCTCGTTTCGATTTCGGAAACGACTCCGATTTCGGGAACGATTCCGATTTCGGGAACCGTTTCGATTTGGGATCTCGTTTGCAGGTATAATTCGCATACTACTAGTAAGCTTGTTGAGCTGGGAGACCATGTGTTTGAGGGCTGATCCCAATTGTAAAAATGCGGTCGCACCTTCTACGTAACTATCGTTGCTCCCATCATCATCATCTTCTTCTACTTCTTCGCTCTGTTCTTCTTCTCCGCTCTGTTCTTCTCCACTCTGTTCTACTTCTCCGCTCTGTTCTCCTTCGCTCTGTTCTTCTCCGCTCTGTTCTTCTCCGCTCTGTTCTTCTCCGCTCTGTTCTCCTTCGCTCTGTTCTTCTACGCTCTGTTCTTCTTCATCGCACTGTTCTTCTTCTCCGCTCTGTGCTCCTACTTCGCACTGTGCTTCTTCCTCGCACTGTTCTTCTTCTTCACATTGTTCAGCGTCTTCTGCTTCTTCGTTATGGTTTGTTTCTTCATTATGTTCTGCATCTCTATTATGTTCTGCATTTCTATTATGTTCTGCGTCTCCATCATGTTCTGCATCTCCGTTAAATTCACCATCTCTGCTATGTCCTGCACCTCCGTTATGTTCTGCATCTCTGTTACTCTCTCTCTGTCCTCTCTTTTTTCTCTGTTTTTCTCTTCTTTTGCGTCCTCTGTCTTCATCGTCATCGTCATCGTCGTCATCGTCCTCTCTTTGCACTCGGGAGGGCCGCTCAAAAGGTGTTTGACTTCTTCGAGTCGTTCTTTCATAGTGTCTTGAGGTACCGCGACTGGGCCCTGGTTGTGACGTTGGGAAATATACGATGGGTTCCATGCAAAATGGTTCCACTCGCCTGGCGCGCCGAAGGCGACGTCTGTATTGCTGTCTCCTCACTTGAGTTAAAAATCTTCCTACCGCTATGGCCATTAATCGGCGATTTCTTGGTGTCTGAAATCAAATATTTTTATGTATAACAAGGCAGCTATTTGCATGCAGATGCAGTTTAGGGTGGTACATATCTGCCCTGTAAGTGCCTATTCACTCCACACGAACACGGGGATATGATGAACAATAACAATTCTTTATTCAAGTAACCAATAACAAACTTGAGTTATTTAATTATGTTATAACATCATCCCTAACAATCATAACAAATGGATGTGTAAGTATGTATTTAATAAATAAGTTTAATTTTTGGAGTTGAAAAGCATTTACACTGCCATCTAATCCCAAATGAAACAAAATAAGTATGTAACTAGACAAAGGTTAAAACATAGCTATTTTTGTAGATTTGTTTTTACATACATTTTACGTTAATTTGTTGTTGCAATCTCTAGCTTGTAAATAATACCAGATAATACACATAACCAAGTAAAATTATATGACTATGGGACCATGGGGTCCAAGCGCTCGTTCCTTTTATAAGGAACTGGCAAAGAGGCTCACCGAGGTGACCGGTGATCAAAAGGCTGGCAGCTATTTCGGCCAGAGAATTAGCCTGGCCATTCAACGTGGTAATGCTGCCAGCCTTTTGGGCACCATCCCTGACTGCGGCGCTGGGGGTGAAGTATTTTTTATTTTGTAAATAGTTTTTATCATTAGTAATTTTAAAATTTTAGTTTTTAAGTCATTTTAAGTTAATATATTATTATAAAATTTATTCTCTAATAAAAATAATCATGACTTCAACTAAAAAGTTGAATTTGATACCTTAATTCATTAATAATTGAAGTACTTAGTTTATACTTACCGTCAGCACGTCAGCATCTGAAGTACTTGTGCTGTCATTGCTGTGCTGTGAGGAATCATCTTCCGACATCATTATTCGACTTCGACCTCGACCGACTGTCGGGTACAACCGGGGTGGAATGCTGATAAGGCGTGGGGGGCTTGGAGGGAGAGGGCTGATTGGGGAAGGGGTTGGAGGGGGCAGAGAACTATACTCAGGGGGCGAATTGAGTATTGATGGAGTGCTAGGAATCGGGGACGTGCTAGGAGAACCGGGTACGTATGGAGGGATGGCCGAGAGGGGAGGAATGGTAGGCGGGAGAGGCAGGACGGGAGAGGGAGGCCGACAACCACGATAAACAGGTTGGAAGGCAGAAAGGGGACGAATGGGTTGAGGGGAAGGAATGACAGGAGTGGGATTGATAGGGGAAGGAATGACAGGAGTGGGAATGATAGGGGAGAGAATTACAGGAGTGGGAATGACAGGGGAGGGAATGACAGGAGAGGAAGCGGCCCGATTTGATATGCCGCTGCACGATGGGACTGCTCCATCGAACTGTTTCTGGAATGCACACTAAACGAAATTTAATGTGAAGCTGTCATCAAAAGGACTACGACACAGTTGCATCATATAAAATAATTTTGTCGTATCTATCTATTACTGCTATTACAGATCAACAGATTCAATATAATGATCGCATCACTATGTCTCTAAATTAGGTTACAAAATTTCGATAGTGAATCAAGTCTATATAAATCGCTTACACTATCATGAATATTGATTTACATTAATGCTTTTCAACCATTTCATAGCTTTATTTTTTAGATTATGCGATGGCTTTAAAGTTTCATAAATAAAATCTTATAAACATTAGATGAGTCTTACCAGTCTTTCGCTTCTCCTTCTTTTTGGCTCAACCACTTCACTCACGCTACTCTTTCGACTATTTTTCACTCCTTTCTTTTTAGAGTTGTCATTCTTTTCCTTATTGGCCTTAGCTACTGATTCCCTACTCGTTTTACATATCGACATATTTTCATTACCCTTTGGCTTTTTTTTGGTCCATTTTGATTTTGTATTTTCTAAAGTGTCCCTGGTATCTTCCATCAATGTTCTGCTGCCTGCAATTATAATTAAGATTTAAGTATTACAGTAATTAAGTTTAGTTTAATTGGTCAATAATCTAAAATAGCTTTCTAGCGATACGATAAGGTAAGAGTTTAAACAGAATGATGACCTATTCCAGACTAGATGTAACAAATGAAACGAGCGTAAATTGAGTACCTATGCATTTAGGTAAGTAGGTACGTGTAGGTAATATTTAGTAATAAGTAAGAAAAGAAAGAAAGAAACATTTATTGCCATGGACATCACAGAAGACAAAAGATGTAAATAATAGAAAAAAAAAGTAAATAAGACATAGGTGACATAAAATAAAACATACAATGATGTCGCACAGCGATGTCCATCGCAATGGGACCCCACTCAGCATATGCCATGGCCCCCGGTGAGGGAGGCCACGACGCTGGTTTTCAGTGTGCCCCATGCCGAGTGGGAGTCACGAACACTAACCTATACTGCATAAAATATACATACATAAATAATAATAATAATAGTGCGCGTATAAGTTTTAAGTGTAAGTACAGTATAATATTATTGTAAAGGAAAGATGTAATAAGATATTATAAATAAAACGATAATATTTGAAAAACAAAACTGTGTGGGTGTACATAATAAATAAATTGTAATGTAATAAAGTGTTTGTGTATAAAGTGCTTGTGTGTGTCTCGACGACCACAAAACCGTCACGTGCGATCGAACCATTTTGCGTGGTTGTGTCTATTCATAGCATCAGGTAGGTAATAAGTAGGTTGTTTGTTTACTTATTTAATTCTATAAATCAAAACAACTCATTAACTACCACTCAGTATAATATACTGCCTATCTTCTATTTGTCTGATGTTTGTTTTGCTTTTGATATTCATACACAACCCAAAAAAAATACTAATAAATAACTATGTGCATGTACACAAATTTTTGTATTATGCAGTAATCGAAATAAATAGGATCAACAGTGATTTATAATGATTTTGTAATTACTTGAAAAAGTGGAATTGCAAAGTTGGAAATCAAACCCACATCCCTTCGCTTGCCGGGCAACTACTCCAAAATCGTTTTTTTTTTTCAAGTTAAAAAAATTAACATTTGTTTGATATGAAACTTTTAGGTTGACTTGCACCAACTTAATTTAACCGTAAGTATAAAACAATGACCAGTGGTTTTTGTATGGAGTTTGACAGCTTTTAGACGTTTCTTAAAGTTAAAGTAAGATGATGCATTTCAGCTTTAAGAGCTAACATTTTTTAAACAATTTTTATAATGATTGATTACTCACGCGACGCGTCCCGTACGAAGACCAATCTGGGTTCACCTTCGCCATCGGGCTGGACGTAAATCCAATTGTCTGGCATGATGTCAATGCCATCCTCAGCCGCCAGCTTCGGGTCCACACACAAAACCTCAAACCTCGGCACATCACCACCACCGTTCACATTCTCAACTAGCAACCACATTTCTTTCACAAATGTAAGCTTGCTGATATCATTATCAGACATTTTGCGTTTTGATGTCATTTTGCGTGTGTTACACGTTGAAGTGAGCTTACCAACTAATTCAGGTAAGAATCCCGCTCCATACACATTTGTATCACCCCACACTGGTGCAAAAAATGCAACGTATACCCGTGTACAACATCGCACTGTTCAATAAATAATTCTACCCTCTTATGAATGCGAATCGTCAAGAACAGGCAGGTGTGTTCCGACGCACGGAAGCAGATTGCAATAAGATAGGGACGATTGAACTTATTCTATCTAATAGTAACGGGAATTATCAAATGAATAGAATAACTTTAACATAAGAATCCGTTTCAAAAGTTTAGAATCTTATTCGAAAATATTTAATAAAATTGGTATGCTAATTTCATATTATTTGCACGAAGAAGGCAAAATGGAACATAAATGTGATTTTAAACCAAACGTTTCATTAAAATAGAAATAGATACAAGCAGTCGATCGACCCGTGTTATTTTTGAGGAGATATCCACACCAACTATTTGAGTCAGGTAAGCTACAACCTTTATTGTATAGTACAATAGCATAAATAACACAATAAATAACGAGCTTTGGGAGATAAGATTATTTTAACAACACGTGGGTTAAATTATTTCAGAAATTGAGAATGTAACAATATTCCCACATTTCGTTTCTTTAAAAGCTATAAAATTTGCACCCCTTTTTCTAGGAACTGTATTTAAAAATATTATCTGTTTCAATTCAACAATGGGACACAAAGCCATTCATCATATTTCATTGTAATCATTAGCTACTTGACCTTGGAAGCTTTTTTATCTCAGTGGTGTTATTTTTAATATTTTGTTACAAATATGTACTTAATACCTACGTGGTACTTTAGGAATACTAAGTAAGGTACCTACTGAAAGTTTACTGAAAGCTTTTTTCCTTATAACAGCGTAACTGGTGAAGCGAGGGATTCTTCACAACGTACTAGTCAACTACATGAAGGCATCCTACCAAAGATCATTATTTTAATAAAAGTAACAACATCACAATGAAAAAAGTACCAGATAGTACCACTTTACGCAGCCCAGTCATCGTGAATCATTCGGACTTGCGAATTACGATTATTAGAGGGGACGTAAAACCAGGTGAGTACCTATAGCTTGGGTATTGTTAAATAGGTCGGGAAAGCACTGCAATCCAAAGTTAAGCTTCAACTACTGTCATAAACATACGGTGAGCTTTCAAGTTCAGTTAGTGCCAATAAATAAAAGTTAAAAAAAGTTAAAAGCGCTTCTAAAAGGCCAACAATAAATGATTGTACACTAGTATTATATTATCTGTGATTGTACTTAATAAACGGTTATTGCAATTATAAATTATATTGACTAAATTATACCCTTACTTTTCAGTTCCCAAGGCCCACGATAAAATCATGGTTTCCCCAAAAGAATTATTGTCCAAATACTACAGTTACCAGCCTACTCCCATAAAACAAATGAATTCATCCCGACTGAAGACGCCAAAAAAAATCAAGTAAGTACCTAACTATGAGTGTAAAAATGAAATTATTATGTGTATCATGGATTTTCTTTTTATGAACTTACAGATTGATCCAAAGCACTCGCATTGCCAGTTTGAAATTACATTTAGTAAAAAAATAAAAATATTCCTAAGTAGATTCAAATACCTCTAATACAATATATTTACGTCTTTTACAGATCTATAAAAATTCAAAGTGTTACACCAGTTATTAAGCAGCCATCTAGCAAAGAGGCAGCCCCGCGGACTAGTTTGGTAGGTACATACTTATCTTCTTCATCATCATCACCATTTCAGCTTAAGGCACTACGTTACTAGACCTTTGTTTGTCACCTGTCATCCGCTTTGCAATGGAGGGAAGTCGAACCTTAACTTCGAATGTTCTTCTGATTAATTTCGTTGCGGGTCCAATGACAGTTTAATTTTCCCCCGCTATTGACCTTCACTGGTTGGGATTTTATTGGCGGTCAAGCTATACACAGGAGTTGCAGCTAGGGTTGCCAGATGGAAACTTACCAAATCCGGGACAATTCTACTAGGACAACAACAAAAAATATCTTGGTTTCTCAAATGATTTAATTTGTATTTCAAAAGAAATATGCCATTTATTTTCAAATACACACTTTTATTAAATAATGTAGGTACGTCAACGTACATAATAGGACTCACAGGCAGGCCAGCCGTGTCATTTGTTATTACATATTAGTTTATTTTGACACAAAACTATAAGGTTTTCGGAAATCCGGTACAGTAATGTCTAATTACTGGACACGGGACAAGACGCAAAATTCCGGGACAATCCCGGATTTCCCGGGCATCTGGCAACCCTAGTTGCAGCAGTCGGAACGAGAGGTGGGAATAGTCCGGTGTTTTAAGCCTTCCTAAAAAACGTCGCGAAGCACGATCTACGGTTTTTTTTTTAATCTAGCTTAGGGCTAGTATCCACGGATATATACACTGTGTTGTAGAATCCCGTTTTTAACACGAATAGGTATCCCGTTTGCAGACCCGCAAAAAACCGATCCGTTTGAATTTGTAACTTGAATTTCCAACACAAAATGTGTGTCAAAATAGTCCAGTTTTGCGGGATACTGCATTGCTGGATTCCACGAAAACTGGATTACCGTGGGAACGAGCCCTCAAATATTCATAGCTAGCTTTTGACCGCGGCTCACCCGCGTGAAATTAGTTTGTCACAGACCGTCATAAATAGGCTAGTTTCCTAACAAATTTTTATTAGTCCGTCATGTTTAATATGAAAAATATTGGACACCTATATTTTTATTTGTCAATCTAACAAATAATTACATATTTATGGTGCGTTGAAGTTACGCGCGACGTCACAAAGTGCGGCACTTTTATGCACTCATTGACGTCACGGGCCTCTTCTTATGAAGTTTGGCGCGCTTTATCTCTTTAAATTTTCATTAGTTTGAAAAAGTGAAAAATACGTGTAGAGTATTTTTTGATAAGTTAACTGACGGACTTATTAAAACTCTTGCTTTTTGACCCAGGAAATAGCATGTTATTCTGGGCTATCTATATCTATATAAAAGCGACTGACTGGTCACTCATTGACTGACTCACTCATCACGAAATCTCAGAAACTAAAGTGCTAGGAGTCTCAAATTTTGCATGGATTCCTTTTAGATCGTAGGTGCTCACTAAGACGGGATTTTGCAAAGCTCAATCCCTAAGGGGGTTAAACGGGAGCCACGCGTACCTACGAAGTCGCGGGTGGCCGCTAGTAAACAACAATAATGTAAAGTTTCATGAAAATCCGTTCAGCAGTTTTTGCGTGAAAGACTAACAAACATCCAGACATCCATTCAAACTTTCGCATTTATTATAAGTAATATAGATATAGATAGACTGTGATTCTTGATTTTAATGGTTACTAATTGATACTAATTAAATTCCTTTTTATTTAGTTTGATTTAGAAGGACCAGCAGATTTTTATAGGTATATGTGGGAGACGAATACTCACTTGCCTCCAAAAAAGAGGTTTTGTCTTCATATGTTTTATGGGTCTAATATAAATAGACACCCGAATATATTCAAAGTAAATACTGGAAATTGGGCTTCAGAGAATAAAACAATATTGAAACAGAAAACCGATAAAACAAGCGTTATTACATCGACTCCGAGGACAGTAATTAATTCAGAAAATGTATCGAATAAAGTCCAAATCGATAATTCACATGCCTTGGAGCAAGAATGCCTTAGTGAGGATGAAGGCATACATCATGATCGTGATGAACATTGGCAAAGCAATATTGTTGATAATCAACCCAACCAAATCCTAGAGCCTACACATGACCATTTGTACGCACAGCAGACTGACATTGATTACAATGAGGTAATCATAATTAATTAATACTACCCGTTCGCGCTAAGTTTGCCGGTCCGTGGATTGCGCGTCCCCTCCCCCAACCGCGATTAAACGCAATAAGTTAGTAAAGTAACGCAATTAATGTGTCTTATTTTACGCAAATACACAATTTTTATCAATACTAATAAATAAAAAATATTTTCAATAGTTATAAACACTTCTTTCGAGTGACGTCATATCGGCAGCGGCAAATTTATCGCAAACGAATAGTATGTCTAAATATACAAGGTGGAATTTAATGCCATTAAATAGAAAATTTTACTCAAAGAAAATATTCATTTATTTTTTAAAAGAAAGAGACTGAAGAACTGCATTTAAAAAATTCCGAAAATTGCTTGCCACACCCGGGAATTAAATCGACTAAAATCTGTTAAAAATTGCACCCTATATTTTTATCAAATCGATCGTTAGGGGTATTATATTATTATTATCTGTGGTTAGGGTTAATTATTTAGAAAAAGTGATAAGATTATCGAAAAGTTTTTCTTTCGTAAATCTTTGAATGCAGTACTCTTGTTTTCTTTGAGTAAAATTTTCTATCTAATACAGTATAAAGACTACTTTCCCTTTGGGTGGCATTACAAAATTCCCCCCCTGTATACTGAATAATATTAAAAACATTAAATAACTGTGGTATTTTTTTACAGGACAATATCGATTCAGAATGCGACACCACGTGCTCTGAGGTAGAACATAAAGGTATTGACCAGACGAAAATTACAAGAAGTATGTTAAAAAATGAGACGGTAAATAAAAATAATACCACAAAATACTATCATGATCTCTCTCTTACTGAGCTGAGTAGGTTACCTTGTCATGGCGTTGTTCCCATTGAGACGTCCCGTTTTTTGCAGGAACTGTTTTGTCAGGTTCCTGTTTAGTAGTTTAAGTATTAATATTAAACGTAATAAGTTTATTTATTTATTAGGTACCAACAAAGTCACATACAGTTCATACATTTTAACATGGCTTAACACATGATGCGCTTATTACCTACCTCAATTACACATAATATACCTACACAGCATTTCTTTATGCAAGGTTAGGATACTTAATTACACTAGACAAAAGAAAAATCAATTTATCTGATAATATTACAGGAAAGTATCGATTTATGCGATACCACGGACTCGGAATCAGAAGATGAAGGTGCGAGTATTATACAAACAGAAATGGCAAGGCGGATGTTGGATCCTAGAATGGTAAATTAAAACTTAGTTAACGGAAGTAAACTATTTATACAGTGTGTCCGGGCATGTAGTGATCAAACTTTAAGGGCGAAATCTAGGGACAATTTTATCGATGAAAATACTTCAAATTTGGGGCTTGACCCATTTATCGCAAAATTACAAGGATTTAAGTTTCTAATTTTTAGTTTTCACCTCTTCCTTCAAAAACAAGTGAATGCGTGGGTAGCTTAATAAGCAAATATTTTAAATCATGTGATAGCCAATAAAATTATCTTTTAGTACAAGTAGAAAACAGACACAAGTTTAATACATTTTATGGGAGTAAGAATGGATTTAATTAGAAAAATACATGACTTTTTTCACTTCTTTTTTCAGTTTTTTCCAACACAAGAAAAACCAGGTCGTTAAAGTATGTTTTATTTACATTGTATTAGACGTAGTCTAATAAATTTACATTCGTTTTGTAGAATAGCTCAAGTACTAATAATAAAATGCAAATAAAACATACTTTAACGACCTGGTTTTTCTTGTGTTGGAAAAAACTGAAAAAGAAGTGAAAAAAAATCATGTCTTTTTCTAATTAAATCCATTCTTACTTCCATAAAATGTATGAAACTTGTTTCTGTTTTCTACTTCTACTAGTACATAATTTTATTGGCTATCGCATGATATAAAACATTTGCTTATTAGTGTTAAGTTACCCACGCTTTCACTTGTTTTTAAAGGAAGAGGTGAAAACTAAAAATTTAAAATTTAAATCCTTGTAATTTTGGGAGAAATGGGTCTAGACCCAAATTTCAAGTATTTTCATCCATAAAATTGTCTATAAATTACGCCCTTAAAGTTTGATCACTACATGCCCGGACACACTGTATACTTAAACTTAAACGAATTATACTATTTATCTATATATTTATGCGAAATACCACTCAGGTAGTTTCTTTTAAAGGCATAGACATCCGCTAAGAAATGGATTGTACGAATCTCCACCTCTAAGGGGCTAAAACGGCATGTACGAGCCGCTATTTTCTGCCTATAGTAATAATTATGTACCTAACTTATACCATAGTATTTTATCTTATCGTGTATTTACAGGTTCCCATAGGTGATGGTAGTGTGTACGTGCCGAGAGATTTCCTAATGTGCATCGATTGGACCTCGTACACCAAAGCCACAAGATCGTTATTGACATCAGTATTCCCTCGCAGGTATACTTTACCCTAAGTTTCTACCCACGTTTTAACAAATCGAGACTTATCAAATTATTAAAGTGTTTTTTTTTTTTTTTTTTTTTTTTTTTTTTATCCACAACGAGGAAGCTCTTGGCCTGTATCTCACCTGATGGTAAGTGACGATCAGGCCGAAGGTGGAAGCGAGCTTCACCCGGAATCCTCAACCACGGAGGAACTGGCTATCTTACCTCTAACTGCCTCTCTAATTTTTATCAATAATTGACCAATAACATTTGCCATTTCGGTTCAAAATCTATACTTATAATAAATCTGTAGAGAGGTCAATTCTGTACATGAAATATATTTTCAAAATAACTATTAAGGGGTGATTAGTGATCGATACTGATGCCAAAAATGCAATCAGTAAAATTTTTGTCTGTCTGTCCGTCTGTCTGTCTGTCTGTCTGTCTGTCTGTCTGTATGTTCCTTATAGAAACAAAAACTACTCGACGGATTTTAATGAAACTTGGTACAATTATTCTTCATACTCCTGGGCAGGTTATAGTATACTTAGGAATTCCCACGGGAACGGTAATTAGCGGGAAAATCCTTTTGTGTGAAAAATCTAAACCGCTTAAGTTAGACGCTTGAAATTTAGCATGCAGGTATCTTAGTAAACTTAAAGCTTAGTTACAACAGGATACTGCGAAATTCCCACGGGAACGGGAGTTAGCGGGAAAAAAACATTTGTATGAAAAAATCTAAACCGCGTAAGATAGATGAAAGGGGTAAAACGGGATCCACGCGTATGAAGTCGCGGGCGGCCGCTAGTTAATAATAAGTTTCTGCATTTCTGATGATTTCGGACTAAATTATCAATTTTTCTTTTTTCTAACTGTAATGTATTTTTTTCAGAATGCTGGCAACTCATTCATTGACGGGAAAACCTCCCCCGGGCTTCCCAAATATGGCACGAAAGAAAAAATTACCTAGCAAGTTTATTGATGACATAGTTTACTGCGTTGCAGAGAAGTGTGGTGTATCTGCAAGGCTAGTGCGGTACGTATCTTCTTTAAAATATAATCTACTAGCTTTCCGCCCGCGGCTTCGACCGCGTGGAATTTTGTCTGTCACAGAAAAACTTTATCGCGCGCGTCCCTGTTTCAAAAACCGGGATAAAAACTATCCTATGTTCTTTCCCGGGACTCAAACTATCTCTATGCCAAATTTCATCAAAATCGGTTGCGAGGTTTAAGCGGGAAAGCGTAACAGACAGACAGACCGACAGACAGACAGACAGAGTTACTTTCGCATTTATAATATTAGTTGGGAAGTTGGGATACTTACAATAAATCTGTAGAGGTCAATTCTGTACATGAAATATATTTTCAAAATAACTATCAGGGGGTGATAAGTAATCGATACTGATGCCAGAAATGCAATGAGTAAAATTTTTGTCTGTCTGTATGTTCCTTATAGAAACAAAAACTACTCGACGGATTTTAACGAAACTTGGTACAATTATTCTTCATACTCCTGGGCAGGTTATAGTATACTAGGTATTCCCACAGGAACGAGAACTACCGGGAAAATGCTTTTGTATGAAAAATCTAAACCGCTTAAGTTAGACGTTTGAAATTTGACATGCAGATTGCAGGTACCTACCTTAGTAAACTTAAAGCTTAGTTACAACAGAATATTGCAAAATTCCCACGAGAACGGGAGTTAAAGGGAAAAAACATTTGTATGAAAAAATCTAATCCGCGTAAGATAGATGAAGGGGGTAAAACGGGATCCACGCGTACGAAGTCGCGGGCGACCGCTAGTATATATACAAAGGTAAAATTCTCACAATGTTTGTAACAAAACTTCTGCGTAACGTCTGGATCTATTCTTACGATAAGTGTGTATATTTCAGTAGGTAAGTCTAAGAATAGGACGTAGGTACCTAACCTACCTAAGCTATTTTTCATACCAAAACAACTCTTGCTAGATCAGCTAGTATTTTATGGAATACATTCCACCTAACGGCTGCCTTTTAGATTGTTTTATTGCCTACGACTGACCTAGCCTACCGTTTTATTTTTTGGCTAGGTTCCAATTACTTTTTTAAAGGAATAATGCCCGTTTTCACTAATTTTTGAGTGACCCCTATGGCGACACTTAACAGGAATTTTGTTTTAATAGGGGTCACTTAAAAATTAGGGATTGATTGTGAAAACGAGCATAAGATTAATAAATAAGTTACTGAATATGGTGCCCAGGTGTGCGTTTCAGTGTGTTTTAAATAAATCTACATATACTATATCTACATAATATTAATCTATACTAATATTATAAGTATATCTGTCTGTCTGTCTTGCTTTCACGCCTAAACTGGTGAACCGATTTTGATTAAATTTGGCAAAGAGATAGTTTGAGTCCCGAGAAAGGACATAGGATAGTTTTTATCCCGGTTTTTGAAGCAGGGACGCGCGCGATAAAGTTTTTCTTTGCCAGACAAATTTCCACGCAGGCGAAAACGCGGGTGGAAAGCTAGTAACTCGTACATAAGTAAACTAAAAACTTAAATCGAACTAATTACTAATGTATAAAGTATAATGTGTGGATTTTTATTTACTAAAATATTGTTAATGTTTTCAGTACCATCATCACGATGAAGTGTACAAATTCGAGCAAATGCGAAAGAAAAAAATTAAAGAAGGATTAATAATTTTAAGTTACAGACGAAAATAGCTTTTAAGTTAGGTATTAATAGGTTAGATTTTAAGAAGAGTTATTTTGACCAGCGAACAAGTTACATTAGTATTAAAACGACTCAGTTTTAGTGTATCACTATTATTATAATTCATCTTTAGCGATTAAAAGCATAAATTAGGAAAGTCGACTGCACATCAGTCTACACATTTTAAAATAACACCTATTACAATAGAATAGGGGTAAAAGTATGAAATTGCCGATTTTTTTTCGAAATTTCTAACTAGTATAAAATTTTATGCTTATTTTTATTTGTATCACTATATCTAAATAAATAATTTTCAAAAACATCTTGAGCTAAGTGGTGTCCTTTCCGTTATAAAAATATAAATATATTCTTACAGGTATCAAATTTCGTGTTTTTTCTTTGTGTGTCCTATAACTTAATGTTGCATGTTTTCTCAATCTATCCAGAAAATTTCATAAGACTAACATTTGTGGTTCTTTAAAAAAGTCGCAAAAATAATTGAAAAATGGATTTTCGTTAGGTAGTTAAATTGGAGAATTTATAGTTTTGTATTGAGATACAAAACGGCAATTTCATACTTATAAAACACCTATGATGCGACATTTCTCTTGATGTGCCGTCGTCCGTACTTTAATATAGGTACTGTACATACAAGTACATAGTAAGGTACTGTATTAGTTGCGGAGCTTTTTAGCTTCAAATATTTGTCTTGAAACGCAATGCAGTTGAGACAATTAAAACATTAAGATGTAAACTATAATTAATATTTTTGATATTAATGCTTCTCTTGACATTCTCTACATGTTAACCATGATGATTAATAATAAAAATTAATCGATTTCAACTAATTAAAACGGATGTTTTAATCCACCTTGAGACCGTGGTCATTTTAGCGCAAAATTTCCAGATAATTATTAACTATATGCTACACTAATTTATTATGACAATTCATGAAATTTGTGATAAAAATGATAATACAATGCAATAAATAAATTAATTTTACTCTAAATGACTTTCGTTTAATTAAATTAACCTTTTAAAAATTCTTGAATCTCTTGCAAATTCTAATCGAAGATGAAGGCATAGTTTCAAGTCAAGTAGGTAGATATAAAATTGAGCTCATTGATATTACCTAGCAAAATAAATCTTATAAATAAGGGTATATAATATATAAGTAAGTAGTTTAATTTTTTTTTATTTACATATCACAATCCTCCGGGGAGGCTTTTGTTGAGGTGCAGAAAAAGAAAGAGCGAGGACTTCAAAAGTATCTATTCTATCACAAAAGCAGTAATTCTAGTCTTCATTTTACATTTACTTGGTACACTTTATGAGAGCTAGAATAAGTTAAATCACTTTCAAGCTAATTAGAATAAAATCATGATACAACAATTGACGGAATCGTCGAGCAACATGAAAAACTAAAGTTTAATTCAATTATAAATTTAATTTCTCATTAACTTAATGCTTTAGTTAAATTCTTGGAGGCATTTTCTCTCAATCAACCAGAATTAAGTAAATCAAATCAGAAAATTAGTGAAAACTAATTTATTAAAAATCTTATTTTAAACATAGCTACCTACATCCTTAAGGTGGACGGCCTTAAAGGTTGTAAGGTGTTGGATGCAGGCCGTTTTTAACCGACCAATCTAGAAATCATTGGAGGAGACCTATGTTCAGCTTGACGTCGTTACTGAAATACTTGATACAATATAAAATAAAATATTATACACACTATAAATATTAGCTAGATAAATGTGTAGGGTAATTCCAGGATACATGCCCCAGTGGGATAGGTGCCGCGATTTTAAGTACACTATGTTACAAACAACTTAGCCTAAAGTTATAGTACGTATAATAGAAAGGGACCTCCCCGTACCACTTTTCGCCTCGCAAACCATCAAAGAGTGCGTTCGTTTAGCCAGTGAGAGCAAAAATCTTCCGCGACCAAACCTTAGCGAGCGTCGAAATAAAATTGGTAAGTATCTTTTAATGCATATTTTTTTTGTCAGTTGTAAAATGAAGCAGATTTTTATATAATTTGATAGACTATCTTATAAATTAGACGGGATAGCCATGTTTAATTCGATTTTTAGTGTTATTATATTTTTTATTAAAAAAGGCACCTATCCTATGCTAAAAGGATAGTTGCCTAATTTTTTTTGGGTATAGATGCCCTGAGGGCCATGTCCCATGAACCTAGGGGCATCTATCCTAACCTGCTCTTTTTGTCACAAGTAGCAAGTCGTTAAGAAGAAAAAAAGAATGTAGACGGCTAACCTTACGAAAGTAATAATAGGGTGCCCTTCTGATCAAATTACCTTTTTACCCGACTGCGCTAGAAGGAGGGTTATGTTTTTCGGGTGGATGTACTATGTACTATTTTTTAATAAAAAATACTAAATTTCATTTTTAATTCATTCATAACAAACAATCTTAAATAATAATACTTGGCTTGTTTGATTTCAAAATGCATTTGATCCTTAGAATTCAAAAACTGTATTAACGAGTCATCTATCCCTGCATCAGGCATCTATCCTTTGAAGCAATCATACAGTGAGTCTTCTATCCCCCACATTAGGCGTCTATCCCACTTTTTAGATGTCAATTAAAATGGTATTTACTCAGAATCGGTATAACTTAAAGTAAAATAATTATAGTAATATCATAGACGAAAGACCAAAGTTTATAGGTACTAAGGTCAAATTGTTGATAAAAACTTACTGACTGAGTTACAGAGCTGTTTCAAAAAGTGGGGCATCTATCCTGGACTTACCCTATATCAACCACTGTGTAGAGGACTTCAAACAGGCCATAATAAATAACACTGCAGAGCTGAGTTTCAGAAAGGTAGAGATTACAAAGTATGGTTTCGGTGATATACATAAAATAACTTATATACATAATAGTAAAAAAACTATAGCATTTTCCCATTCGTTCTTATATCAACGGTTTAGCCGTACTATTATTTTAAGTAACTTAAATTTAACAAACAGGCTCATTAAACCTAATCAATACTTAATTACCTAAGTGTTTATTAACAGTCAAAGGTCCTTTGCTTTTAATAACAACAACTTCAAAAATGATCATGTAAACATTTCAACAACATTATGATAAGATCCTAATTATGTTAATTACCTATTCGTTAATCACCATGTCATGTAATCTAGGCTGTGCATTAAATGGTATTTTTATGTGATTAAGTGTGAGAACGAGTTTCCTTCGTTACAACATTTGCGAGTCGCAGCGATAACGCGAAGGGTCTGTTACCTGTCTAATCCTTTGAAACAAAGGGAACGTGGTGTTTTCCTTAAGCATCTAGTCAGAACAATGTTATAAATAAGGGAAATTTTGCTTTTGCACATCAGTTCACTTCGGCATCCCATCTTGAGCAGTTCTCGTGCACTTGATTGCAAATTGTGAATTTTCAGTGTTCAGTTTTAGTTAAGAAATATTTCGTAGTACAGTTTTGCTTTCGAGGCGAACAAACTTTGTAAGGAAACGTAAAGTTTATAAATTCAGTGGCGTTAAGTTCTCGTGAAGAATAGTTTTGCTTTGGAAGCTTTCAAGCTTTATAAGTGTTCCAACGTAAAATTAATAAATTCTTTTTTAATTTAATATTCTGTGTCCTGAAACGATCGAAACCATGTCTGAACAACAAGTCCCAACAACAAATGAGTGGAGCGAGCTCGAACTCGCAGCTGTAGAGGGATTGATGATGCTGAGCCAAAGATGGCGGGTGTCCGCATCGGTACCGCAAGACCAGGAATCGCAGCCAGAACCGGAGCCACAACCTTGTGCTTCTCTAGCTGATGACCAGCCCACGGCCTTCGTCAGCGGGCCATCGGACTCAGAGAACAATAGCCCCACCGAAGCTGAAGAGGTCCCAGAGAATTACGCGCAAGAGGAACTGAGCCGCTCCTATTCACCACAAGAAACTCAAGCTTCAGCCTCGGCAGCTGGAACAAACGATTCTACAAGCAACGCGGAGGACATGACTGCGAAACTGTCAGATATGGTCAGAAAGGCAATACATGAGTGGAGGGCAACGACTGCCGGCGCCGACAGGGTTCCAACGTATACCCTCTCTTGGGTGATTCACGAGGCTGCTCTTGGCTATACCCAGAACGAGCCTATGCCTGGGCCCAGTGGGATTAACATGCCTGGGCCCAGTGGGACTAACATGCCTGGGCCCAGTGGGAATAACATGCCTGGGCCCAGTGGGACTAACATGCCCGGACCCAGTGGGACTAACATGCCTGGGCCCAGTAGGATTAACACGCGCGCAAGGAGTCGCAGGTCTGCTCTTGCAGAGATTTCTCCAACCGGGAGTAACAAGGTACCTATTTATTTATCTTTTATGTTATTGCCCTTCGCTTGCCTGAACTTCATGATTTTGACTGTTTAGTTTTTTCCAATTCTGGCAGAATATTGAAAATTACCCTAACTTAGCCTTCACTTAATTTTCAATCTTTTCAAATCAGAAATCACTAAGTTGCGTACATTTTTATATATATAATGTTACGGTTAATGTGATAAATTGAAAATTATTAATAATAACCGGTTATTATGAATAATTACCGACAGTCGCGGTAAAAGTGATAAATTAATCACATTTAACAGTGATTATTAAATAATTCAACCTTAGTACTAACAAATTTCATAAAAGAGAACAACATCTTGTGTACGTGCTCCTGTACAGCCAAACTTTTGAACGTTTTGATATCACATTATTAATATAATTTGGCATAATGAGTTTGGAATGTTTCTTGCATAATATTACTTTTCCATGATGCCTATAACATAATGTTTTGATTTAAAGTGAAAAATAGGTTAAGGTGCGGCGGGGGTGGCCCTTGGGCCACCCCTAAGCCGCCTATTTAGTTTTATACACACATAAATGACCTCATATTAATCACATTTACCAAATCATGCGGTAATTATTCACAATAACCGGCGATTATTCATAATTTTCACATTTATCACTTTGACCGTAACATATATAGATTTAGTTAACCCACGATTAAAAAATGCTCGTGTTAGAAGTAAATACAGAAAAATGTAAATAGATAATGCAAAAAGGTTTTGAAATGGACGCCGTTAAGAAAGCACTTGATACGGGCTGCTTCTAAAGAATGTCGTGTAATCTAATTAATTTTTTCTCTTATAGGAAAATATAATACCAAAGGCAGAGGAGTTCAGTTCGTCAGACACGTCGTCTGACGACGAATCAGAGCCTGATGGTGAAATGGTAAGTATTACTGTTGATGACGTACGAGTACCTTAGCAACATTGTTACTTGCCTTGCCAAAATTCAGTCTGCTTACCTTTGATAATTCATTTACGGGAATACTTTTAAATAAACTACCACAAACGTCATAGAAATGCCAATTTTATAATTTTATAAATAATCAAAACACATCTGTAACTTCCACTTCATGAATGAAAAAGGCCTTATAAATAGTTAAATATGTTTAAAGCCTAGTTTACATCAATATTATTAAATAATATAATACAATAGTAAACCCTTGTAAAGGCCTGACAAAAGTGAATGCCTTAATCCCAAATTATTAAGCGACCCCTATGAAAACAAAATGCCCGTTATGTGTTACCATAGGGGTCACATAAAAATTAGGGATTGATGGTGAAAATGGGCATGAGTCTCTAGTCAGTTCTAGTACTTCTAGTGCTGCTTCTTGCACTGGTCTACTTATTGTCGCGAAACATTGACCGTGAGGTTAAGTAATACTGGGACATAATAAAGGCGCTTTGTAAAAGCTTCACTTACATAAAAAAAGATTAATAACTTGTTATAAATTACTGACTTTTGCGGTCTTTACAGATTCCCATTGGAGACGGCTACGCTCGAGTCCCAGCGTACGTTCTCAAAATGATTAACTGGGGCAAATTCAAAATTGCCACCCGTCACTTGTTAGTTGCGGTCTTCGGCAGAGAGTAAGTGAANGGGCCATCGGACTCAGAGAACAATAGCCCCACCGAAGCTGAAGAGGTCCCAGAGAATTACGCGCAAGAGGAACTGAGCCGCTCCTATTCACCACAAGAAACTCAAGCTTCAGCCTCGGCAGCTGGAACAAACGATTCTACAAGCAACGCGGAGGACATGACTGCGAAACTGTCAGATATGGTCAGAAAGGCAATACATGAGTGGAGGGCAACGACTGCCGGCGCCGACAGGGTTCCAACGTATACCCTCTCTTGGGTGATTCACGAGGCTGCTCTTGGCTATACCCAGAACGAGCCTATGCCTGGGCCCAGTGGGATTAACATGCCTGGGCCCAGTGGGACTAACATGCCTGGGCCCAGTGGGAATAACATGCCTGGGCCCAGTGGGACTAACATGCCCGGACCCAGTGGGACTAACATGCCTGGGCCCAGTAGGATTAACACGCGCGCAAGGAGTCGCAGGTCTGCTCTTGCAGAGATTTCTCCAACCGGGAGTAACAAGGTACCTATTTATTTATCTTTTATGTTATTGCCCTTCGCTTGCCTGAACTTCATGATTTTGACTGTTTAGTTTTTTCCAATTCTGGCAGAATATTGAAAATTACCCTAACTTAGCCTTCACTTAATTTTCAATCTTTTCAAATCAGAAATCACTAAGTTGCGTACATTTTTATATATATAATGTTACGGTTAATGTGATAAATTGAAAATTATTAATAATAACCGGTTATTATGAATAATTACCGACAGTCGCGGTAAAAGTGATAAATTAATCACATTTAACAGTGATTATTAAATAATTCAACCTTAGTACTAACAAATTTCATAAAAGAGAACAACATCTTGTGTACGTGCTCCTGTACAGCCAAACTTTTGAACGTTTTGATATCACATTATTAATATAATTTGGCATAATGAGTTTGGAATGTTTCTTGCATAATATTACTTTTCCATGATGCCTATAACATAATGTTTTGATTTAAAGTGAAAAATAGGTTAAGGTGCGGCGGGGGTGGCCCTTGGGCCACCCCTAAGCCGCCTATTTAGTTTTATACACACATAAATGACCTCATATTAATCACATTTACCAAATCAATTTAGTTAACCCACGATTAAAAAATGCTCGTGTTAGAAGTAAATACAGAAAAATGTAAATAGATAATGCAACAAGGTTTTGAAATGGACGCCGTTAAGAAAGCACTTGATACGGGCTGCTTCTAAAGAATGTCGTGTAATCTAATTAATTTTTTCTCTTATAGGAAAATATAATACCAAAGGCAGAGGAGTTCAGTTCGTCAGACACGTCGTCTGACGACGAATCAGAGCCTGATGGTGAAATGGTAAGTATTACTGTTGATGACGTACGAGTACCTTAGCAACATTGTTACTTGCCTTGCCAAAATTCAGTCTGCTTACCTTTGATAATTCATTTACGGGAATACTTTTAAATAAACTACCACAAACGTCATAGAAATGCCAATTTTATAATTTTATAAATAATCAAAACACATCTGTAACTTCCACTTCATGAATGAAAAAGGCCTTATAAATAGTTAAATATGTTTAAAGCCTAGTTTACATCAATATTATTAAATAATATAATACAATAGTAAACCCTTGTAAAGGCCTGACAAAAGTGAATGCCTTAATCCCAAATTATTAAGCGACCCCTATGAAAACAAAATGCCCGTTATGTGTTACCATAGGGGTCACATAAAAATTAGGGATTGATGGTGAAAACGGGCATGAGTCTCTAGTCAGTTCTAGTACTTCTAGTGCTGCTTCTTGCACTGGTCTACTTATTGTCGCGAAACATTGACCGTGAGGTTAAGTAATACTGGGACATAATAAAGGCGCTTTGTAAAAGCTTCACTTACATAAAAAAAGATTAATAACTTGTNTCGCAGCAGCAGAGGGGTTGATGATGCTGAGCCGAAGCTGGCGGGTATCTGCGTCAGTGCCGCAAGACCAGGAGCCGCAGCCAGAACCCGAGCCAGAAGCCTCTCAAGCTGATGACCAGCCCACAGTAGGGTGTCCCGAAATATCTTTTTTTATATTTTCGCTACACAAGACCCCTCAAAAGTTGCGTAATAAGATGTAGATTGCCGTAAAAATAATAAAAAAATTATAAAATAATGTCTCAAGGGCTCTACCGGCATTTTTATGTCTGAAAAAATCACTTAATCAGCCCTTCACTGTTTGTCATCTATTATATTTTTTTCACAATTATTTCATTTTATTTTGTAATTACAATGGTAATGGAACCCTAAGATATGATTTGCAGGCAATGACATACTGTTTCAAGTGAGGAATAGGTTTGGTTCGCACTCGCAGAATTCATATTTTGACTTGTTTTTCTCAAATTTTCTACTCCTTCGGCGAGGCTGTTGGTATTATTTCTGTTAAGGTTTTATTGCTGTAAGATATCGCACCGCACTTTTTTGTTATAATATTACATACTTTTAGCATAAATTTAACAAAAATTTACCAAATATATGGTAGTAATATACTTTTTGATTTTTTACACGTAAAAACTACCTAGCCAAAAATCTTTAAAATATTATATTTAAACAGAATACTAATTAACATGTTTAATAGTTTTAGCATACTATTAAATATAAATAACATTTTAGAACGTTACATACACTTTCTAGCTGAAGTTTTTGTTCTGTACGCAGTTTTTTATCAATGGTGAACTTCAACGGATGTAAACATATATTTTTAGTTATGAAACGCATACATGTTATATATCAAATTAAAGACAATTTAATACACTTCTTTGGTTTGTGTAAAACTTTTGGTAGAGTATAAGACATTTTGTAAAAAAATGATTCAAAAAGTAGTATCACAAAAATGTAAACAAAATCAATTTTCCTTTAATTACTAACTAAAGGTTGATTTTATCGATACAATTTATACCACAAAATATCAAGCGCACACGTAGAGCTTTGATATAAATAAAAAAGTAATCAAATCGGACAAATGGTTTTCAAGTTATGGTTGATTTTCTAAAATTTACTGCCATTTTTGTTAGCGTCCACTTAGAGATGCCAATCATTGTTTTATAATAGCGTGATAAAATTATTAACCTGCTGTGAGAAGGGAATTGAGTACCCCCAAATTAAATCGATATCTTGGTGGACCCATGGATTAATAAGGAACACATTAAAATCTCGCGCGTAAATGCCTAATTCTGGTCAAAAAGCCAATTCTGATTTTTAAGCATTTATAGATTTATTGGTTTTTCAACTATATTAAACTTTGTTGTGACTCATTGTGTACCCTCAAATTTCATAAAAATGCTATTTTTGTATTATTTATAGTTTATGTTAGGAACTCCTAAAATAGCAATTTTAAAATTGTTCAAGGACAGGTAGAGGCCTCAAGATGATAGATATCTAATTAAATTTAATGTTAATCGTAATCTATATGTCAAAACGCAACTTTTGATAACTCTTGCGTAACCGTAGCTCAAAAAAATTTTTTTCTCATACAACGACGGGACACCCTAGCCCACAGCCTTCGTCAGCGGGCCATCGGACTCAGAGAACAATAGCCCCACCGAAGCTGAAGAGGTCCCAGAGAATTACGCGCAAGAGGAACTGAGCCGCTCCTATTCACCACAAGAAACTCAAGCTTCAGCCTCGGCAGCTGGAACAAACGATTCTACAAGCAACGCGGAGGACATGACAGCGAAACTGTCAGATATGGTCAGAAAGGCAATACATGATTGGAGGGCAACGACTGCCGGCGCCGACAGGGTTCCAACGTATACCCTCTCTTGGGTGATTCACAAAGCTGCTCTTGGCTACACCCAGAACGAGCCTATGCCTGGGCCCAGTGGGATTAACATGCCTGGGCCCAGTGGGACTAGCATGCCTGGGCCCAGTGGGAATAACATGCCTGGGCCCAGTGGGAATAACATGCCTGGGCCCAGTGGGACTAACATGCCCGGACCCAGTGGGACTAACATGCCTGGGCCCAGTAGGATTAACACGCGCGCAAGGAGTCGCAGGTCTGCTCTTGCAGAGATTTCTTCAACCGGGAGTAACAAGGTACCTATTTATTTATCTTTTATGTTATTGCCCTTCGCTTGCCTGAACTTCATGATTTTGACTGTTTAGTTTTTTCCAATTCTGGCAGAATATTGAAAATTACCCTAACTTAGCCTTCGCTTAATTTTCAATCTTTTCAAATCAGAAATCACTAAGTTGCATACAAATTTTCTTCTCCTATGTAAGATGGACTTAGTATCATATAATACGGCATTTTCTGCCAATTAACTCTCGGGCTAAATACAAATTAATAAATAGTCAATTTGGTTAACCCACGATTAAAGAATGCTGGTGTTAGAAGTAATTACAGAAAAATGTAAATAGATAATGCAACAAGGTTTTGAAATGGACGCCGTTAAGAAAGCACTTGATACGGGCTGCTTCTAAAGAATGTCGTGTAATCTAATTAATTTTTTCTCTTATAGGAAAATATAATACCAAAGGCAGAGGAGTTCAGTTCGTCAGACACGTCGTCTGACGACGAATCAGAGCCTGATGGTGAAATGGTAAGTATTACTGTTGATGACGTACGAGTACCTTAGCAACATTGTTACTTGCCTTGCCAAAATTCAGTCTGCTTACCTTTGATAATTCATTTACGGGAATACTTTTAAATAAACTACCACAAACGTCATAGAAATGCCAATTTTATAAATTACTAGCTGACCCGGCGAACTTTGTTCCGCCTTAATGGCAATAAATAAGCAGACTTTTTTTATTTCGAACGGGATAAAAAGTATCCTATGTCCTTCTCCTGGCTCTAGGGAGGTACCCTGACAATTTTCAGCTAAATCGGTTCAGCCGTTCTTGAGTTATAAGCGAAGTAACTAACACGACTTTCTTTTATATATATAGATAATCAAAACACATCTCTAACGTTCCACTTCATGAATGAAAAAGGTCTTATAAATAGTTAAACATGTTTAAAGCCTAGTTTGCATCAATATTATTAAATAATATAATACAATAGTAAACCCTTGTAAAGGCCTGACAAAAGTGACTGCCGTTTTCACCATTAATCCCAAATTATTAAGCGACCCCTATGAAAACAAAATGCCCGTTATGTGTTACCATAGGGGTCACATAAAAATTAGGGATTGATGGTGAAAACGGGCATGAGTCTCTTTTCTCGTTCGTTCTAGTGCTGCTTCTTGCACTGGTCTACTTATTGTCGCGAAACATTTAACCGTGAGGTTAAGTAATACTGGGACATAATAAAGGCGCTTTGTAAAAGCTTCACCCACATAAAAAAAGATTAATAACTTGTTATAAATTACTGAATTTTGAGGTGTTTACAGATTCCCATTGGAGACGGCTACGCTCGAGTCCCAGCGTACGTTCTCAAAATGATTAACTGGGGTAAATTCAAAATTGCCACCCGTCACTTGTTAGTTGCGGTCTTCGGCAGAGAGTAAGTGAAGTTTTATTTTATTTTCTCCATTAAATTAATTTGTAACTATAATAAACGGGTACTAAATTAATATTTGACTTTTCAGGACGTTGGCTACCCACAATTTAACTGGGAAGCCGTCTCCAGCTTTTCCCAATAGAGCCCCACGTGGAAAACTGAACCCGAATTTAGTTAATGACATTATACAAACCGTCGTGCAGCGGTGCGGCGTGTCAGCAAGTCTAGTCCGGTATGTACATACACCTGCCACGTAAATAGTGGTGAAATCATTAGTCAAAAGTTTAAAACTAATAAAATAATCTTGTTTTTAGTGCCAGCATCACATCAAAGTGCGCCGATGAAGGCAAGCTGGCGGGACATCCAAAATGACGACCGCTGCAATGNCAACGTTCCACTTCATGAATGAAAAAGGTCTTATAAATAGTTGAACATGTTTAAAGCCTAGTTTGCCTCAATATTATTAAGTAATAAATACAATAGTAAACCCTCGTAAAGGCCTGACAAAAGTGACTGCCGTTTTCACCATTAATCCCAAATTATTAAGCGACCCCTATGAAAACAAAATGCCCGTTATGTGTTACCATAGGGGTCACATAAAAATTAGGGATTGATGGTGAAAACGGGCTTGAGTCTCTTTTCTCGTTCGTTCTAGTTCTACTTCTTGCTCTGGTCTACTTATCGTCCCAAAACAATGACCGTGAGGTTAAGTAACACTGGAACATAATAAAGGCGCTTTGTAAAAGCTTCACTTACATAAAAAAAGATTAATAACTTGTTATAAATAACTGACTTTTGCGGTCTTTACAGATTCCCATTGGAGACGGCTACGCTCGAGTCCCAGCGTACGTTCTCAAAATGATTAACTGGGGCAAATTCAAAATTGCCACCCGTCACCTGTTAGTTGCGGTCTTCGGCAGAGAGTAAGTGAAGTTTTATTTTATTTTCTCCATTAAATTCATTTGTAACTATAATAAACGGGTACTAAATTAAAATTTGGCTTTTCAGGACGTTGGCTACACACGATATAACTGGGAAGCCGTCTCCAGCTTTTACCAATAGAGCCCCACGTGGAAAACTGGACCCGAATTTAGTTAATGACATTATACAAACCGTCGTGCAGCGGTGCGGCGTGTCAGCAGGTCTATTCCGGTATGATGTACATACACCTGTCACGTAAATAGTGATGAAATAGTTAGTCAAAGGTTTAAAACTAATAAAATAATCTTGTTTTTAGTGCCAGCATCACATCAAAGTGCGCCGATGAAGGCAAGCTGGCGGGATATCCAAAATGACGACCGCTGCAATGACCTGCTCCCCTAGACAAGTGGCATAACGTGACAGTTAAAATTCGAAAAAATAATCAATATGATAAGATCCTAATTATGTTAATTACCTATTCGTTAATCACCATGTCATGTAATCTAGGCTGTGCATCAAATGGTATTTTTATGTGATTAAGTGTGAGANCAAGTGACATAACGTGACAGTTGCAATTCCGAAAACGCTTCGCTGCGGCGTTTTGTACTTCGCTCCGTGAAGCGATTTCGAAATTAACTGTCACGTTTTGTAACTTGTCTAGGGGGGCTGGCCGGCAACCCGGCTACAAGAAATGGCGCTTTAGTTGTAAGGCAAGTATAAAAAACAATATAAGTTTTTTCATTAGTTTGATAAAGTGAAAAATACGTTTCGAGTATTTTTGATAAGTTAACTGAGGCATTAATTCAAACTCTTCCCTCACGGAACATCCCTACTTTATTAGGGTATTTGCCCACCACTAATCAATGAGGGTTTTGGCGTATGAAAGATCCGCTAGATGACCAATTATACTACTTTTTTCAAATACAATGCAACCAAAAATCTTAATTAACTGGTAATTCAAAATAATTAAGTTTTTAAGACTACAATCAAGTGCCTTTTTAAAAATGTTATGCTTTAGTGGTGGAAAATACCCAATTATAATCTTTCTAACAACAATTATTTCTTTTTCAGATCCCTGTAGTGGGCAGGGGCGTCATTAACTCCGCCCTGTGCCCTGTGGCCGCCAGCGCCAATCGCAAGTCTGAGCAAAGGAGGTGGCGCTCTCAAGTTTACACGGCCATTGTAATAGTGTATAGTCAAAAGATAGCACATAAGTCTAAGAGTAGGCGCACACCGTTGATTTTTAGTTGGCCGATAGTTGTGCCCGATTTTAATTTGTATGAAGAATCGGCCAAATCGAATCGGCGTAGTGTGCGCACTCCCATACATGCCCATACTGATCAACTGTCGACTAAACTATCGGCCGACGAAAAATCAACGGTGTGCGCCTACTCTAAATGTTTGTTGCAAAATATTCCGTAATGCAACTGAATAAGATGCGGTTTAGTTCGATGTACTGTCGTGTGTATGTTTACAATGTATGTCGAAGTAAGTACTATGCTACACGACCAGTACGTAAAATATATATGTTTGAGTGATACTTGTAATTTTAAATTACTTTTAATAGTTTTATATTTAGTTATAATGTATTTTAATGATTAATTTCATAATTTCATCTTGTAATTAATATATTTTGTATTAAGTAAGTAAGTAATTATTTCGAAACCTTTAGAAAATGTTTTAAATTAAAACTTTTTTCCTTAATTCTGTTGTTTTCACTGTTTCCCCATAAGAAATAAATATTAAAAACCAAAACTCATGGTAGAGTTCCAAACACTTTTATCTTAAGTAAAGCTCATCATTATTACCTATCTTTTAGTAGTTACACATAAATACAAAGCCAAGAAGCGGTAAAAGTACAATTTTAGAATTAAATAAAAATAAAATATAAACTATCAACATAGACTAAATATTTATAAACACTAAACTTGTAAACACTAATTACCTACTTATGCAATAAACATTTTGAATTTAAATATTTACAATTAAAAAATGTCTGCCAAATCGCTATCTATACAACGCGACATGGTGCCCAGAATGCCGGCTGCATTTCCGCGCTGAATGGCCAAACTGGTTCGTTGGCCAAAAAATGCGCCAGCTCTCCCATCACCGGTACAGTCAATCAGCCGCTTGGCTAATAGAATAGAAATAAATCAATTTTAGCGTGATTGTCCGAAAAAGTATTAGACAAGGTCCGTTCTTTCTCCATGATTCGAAACCGCAACAAACAAAAGGCTCAATAATATTCAAAATCATTAGCAAGTAACTATTGCACTTCGTAATTAACTAATCTATCGCTTATTGAAAAATACCAACGTCGGACACTATTTAAGTTGTGAGCCTAACTATGAAAACAAAGTAGTTTATTATTAAAATGGTATTGATTGCGTTTATTGGTATTGTCTTTCATGATTTATGTACTTTTTAATGTGTCCAAAACACTTTTCATAGCATTTTTTCCACTCAGCCTGAGGCACCTCCAAAGCATGGATTTTGACTGCACCGACAGTTGCTTCTGGCTACATAAATCGCTGTTCACGCATTTAATTTTAATATAAGGGTACCAAAAGAAGTGTTTAGATTCCAAGCAAGAATTTTGTAGCGTTGGACCTGTTTATTTCATATTTTGAGTGTTCAAATAGTCAGTTGTTTGAGGAGACGTGTAAAAACTCACATTTTCGTCACGAATGGCGATTCGACTATGCTGGTCAGTTTCCCTTATTAAACTGAAGACTTTTGGAAAAAAAAGTGGCTGTTTACTATTAAGAATTACCCATTCAAAATTTCTCTAGTGACGTTTCTGTCATATAATCGGATATTTCGGAAAAATAAGCGACCGTAAGTTTCAAAGTGTTCCGAGCGCATGGGACTTTTGTTGGAATTGGTTCATCTTAAAACACCTCCATAGTCGATAGCTGTTTATTTTCAGGATCATTATGCATAGATCCTTAATTCGTCAACTGTCAGAATTTTAAAAACGGCTTTTAAAGCTTTTTANAGTCAAAGGTTTAAAACTAATAAAATAATCTTGTTTTTAGTGCCAGCATCACATCAAAGTGCGCCGATGAAGGCAAGCTGGCGGGATATCCAAAATGACGACCACTGCATTGACCTGCTCCCCTAGATAAGTGACATAACGTGACAGTTGCAATTCCGAAAACGCTTCGCTGCGGCGTTTTGTACTTCGCTCCGTGAAGCGATTTCGAAATTAACTGTCACGTTTTGTAACTTGTCTAGGGGGGGCTGGCCGGCAACCCGGCTATAAGAAAGGGCACTTTAGTTGTAAGGCAAGTATAAAAAATAATACAAGTTTTTTCATTAGTTTGATAAAGTGAAAAATACGTGTCGAGTATTTTTGATAAGTTAACTACTACCTATTTATTTATCTTTTATTATGATATTGCCCTTCGCTTGCCTGAACTTCATGATTTTGACTGTTTGTTTTTTAACAATTCTGGCAGAATATTAAAAATTACCCAAACTTAGCCTTAGTATCATATAATACGGCATTTTTTGCCAATTAACTCTCGGGCTAAATACAAATTAATTAATTGTCAATTTAGTTAACCCACGATTAAAGAATGCTGGTGTTAGAAGTAATTACAGAAAAATGTAAATAGATAATGCAACAAGGTTTTGANAATGCTGGTGTTAGAAGTAATTACAGAAAAATGTAAATAGATAATGCAACAAGGTTTTGAAATGGACGCCGTTAAGAAAGCACTTGATACGGGCTGCTTCTAAAGAATGTCGTGTAATCTAATTATTTTTTTCTCTTATAGGAAAATATAATACCAAAGGCAGAGGAGTTCAGTTCGTCAGACACGTCGTCTGACGACGAATCAGAGCCTGATGGTGAAATGGTAAGTATTGCTGTTGATGACGTACGAGTACCTTAGCAACATTGTTACTTGCCTTGCCAAAATTCAGTCTGCTTACCTTTGATAATTCATTTACGGGAATACTTTTAAATAAACTACCACAAACGTCATAGAAATGCCAATTTTATAATTTAATAAATAATAAAAACACATCTGTAACGTTCCACTTCATGAACGAAAAAGGTCTTATAAATAGTTGAACATGTTTAAAGCCTAGTTTGCCTCAATATTATTAAATAATATAATACAATAGTAAACCCTCGTAAAGGCCTGACAAAAGTGACTGCCGTTTTCACCATTAATCCCAAATTATTAAGCGACCCCTATGAAAACAAAATGCCCTTTATGTGTTACCATAGGGGTCACATAAAAATTAGGGATTGATGGTGAAAACGGGCATGAGTCTCTTTTCTCGTTCGTTCTAGTTGCTGCTTCTTGCACTGGTCTACTTATTGTCCCGAAACATTGACCGTGAGGTTAAGTAATACTGGGACATAATAAAGGCGCTTTGTAATAGCTTCACTTACATAAAAAAAGATTTATAACTTGTNGGTTTTTGTGAACACGAACAATGAAATTTGAATATTATCAATAAAAAATTGTTACAATAATATTTGTAATTAAAAAAAAACATGTTTTTTGTTAAATAACACCTACACAAATTATTTCTCTAAAAGTAGGTTTTAGTAACTCTTCGAAAAAAATCGATAGATGAATCGCTATGGTTTAGTTATGTGACATCTCTAAATCTTTCAAACTCGAAACTTCATACGGATCATCTTAGGTGAAAAAGACTATATAGTTCCAAAATACTGGACTGTCCTGTCGATGACATTGACAGTGGGGCGCCACCGTCAATACCGGATCGCTGGTTCAGATTTTTGCCATGTTGGAAACCATATAGTTGAACGATGGTAGCGCCCCCCTGTCATTGAGTTTGGCGGGACAGTTCAGCGTGGGTCATCTATAAACGTATTTATCAAACATTTCCAAGGACAAAACGACACAAGCGTTCTATTGAGCGTTTGAAAAATTTTGTGACATCCAGCGAGAAAAAAACGTATTAACCATAATATGGTCATACAATATTTTATTACTGCTAGTGGAATTAATGCCTAGGATTATCTCAATCCTACGACATATCACATGACTAGGTTTCTCTTCCATTTTTCTGACAACATAAATTTTTATCGCCACTATTAGTCATTTTGGACGACTTTCGCAAAGTTCACTGGTTAGCCAATGACATACAATATTATACTTCTTAAACTAGCGTTTTACAATGGTAAAGGACAGATCTTTATCATCAAAAGTGAAATTTAGCTGACTGCTTCAGTTTTGTATTGATTAACCACGTCGAAAGTCATAATAAATCTTCGCGCGAAAATTTCCGCAAGTCAATTCCATGTTTTTGTAGTCAAGATAATTTTCAATTCAATGTTAATAATACAAAGCAAAAAATTTTTGAATAAAGTTGTAGTCAGAAATGTCAAACTTTTCATTAAAAGTATCAAATGTCGTCTAACAACACGTTATGTTGTCGAGGCTCACAACTTAAATAGTGTCCTAGTAACCACTATGCCTTAATTAGTGGATACTTATTTTATTACACCCACACATAATAACAGAATTAAAAATAATAGTGTTCAATTAGCTATAATTATTATCTTTCAACCAATTAGGGAATTAGCTTTTATACAGAGTGGGATTTGGTAATAGAAAATCTTTGAATGCAGTTCTCTTTCATTTCAAAGTTGAAATAAGGTTTTCTTTGAGTATAATTTTTCATTTGTAGTATTCAGGTGGCACACAAAATTCAATCCTGTATATTTGAGTATATGACGTAAACGGTAGGTACACTAAAAAGCCGTGGACGAATGTCTTAATGAGGATAGTTTATGTACCTATAGCTCGCGCCTCCGTTTCACTGGGCGGCGCTGGAGGTCACCGTAACAGGTTTTATACATTATAGTAGGTAAGCCCCGCCCTTCTATCCGTCCTAAATCCGTCTAATGGTTATGCGCAAAGCATTTTCCGACTAAAAAAATATGTCACCGTAATATTGTGAATGAGGATCATTTCGATTTTTAGCTGTGAATACAGATTTAAATTAGTAAATTAATTTTATTTTAAATTCTTGAATCTGTTGCAAATTGTAATCGAAGATGAAGACAGTTTCAAGTCAAGTAGGTAGATATAAAATTGAGCCCATTGATATTACCTTGCAAAATAAATCTTATAAATAAGGGTATATAAAAGTAAGTAGTTTAATTTTTTTTTTTATATATCACAATCCTCCGGAGAGGCTTTTGTTGAGGTGCAGAAAAAGAAAGAGCGAGGACTTCAAAAAGTATCTATTCTATCACAAAAGCAGTAACTCTAGTCTTCATTTTACATTTACTTGGTACACTTTATGAGAGCTAGAATAAGTTAAATCACTTTCAAGCTAATTGGAATAAAATCATGATAGGTACAACAATTGACGGAATCGTCGAGCAACATGAAAAACTAAAGTTTAATTCAATTATAAGTTTAATTTCTCATTAACTTAATGCCTTAGTTAATTCTTGGAGGCATTTTCTCTCAATCAACCAGAATTAAGTAAATCAAATCAGAAAATTAGTGAAAACTAATTTATTAAAAATGTTATTTAACAATATTATGATAAACATAGTTACTTATATCCATAAGATGGACAGTCTTAAAGGTTGTAAGGCGCTGGATGCAGGCCGTTTTCAACCGACCAATCTAGAAATCATTGGGGAGACCTATGTTCAGCTTGACGTCGTGACTGAAATACTTGATACAATATAGAATAAAATATTACACACACTATAAATACTAGCTAGATAAATGTGTATATCAGCCATAGTAGGAGTCCAAACAGGCCATAATAATTAACACTGCAGAGCTAAGTTTCAGAAAGGTTTGTAAGAATGCTGTAAGTAAAACTTTTATAAAATAAATTATCTAATAGTAATAAAAAAAACTATAGCATTTTCTCATTCGTTCTTATATGAACGGTTCAGCCGTACTATTTATTTAAAGTACTTAACATAAACTTAACAAACAGGCTCATTAAACTTAATCAATAATACTTAATTACCTAAGTGTTTATTAACAGTCAAAAGTAATAGTTCTTTTCTTTTAATAAAAACAACTTCAAAAATAATGATGTAAACATTTCAACAAGATTATGATAAGATCCTAATTATGTTAATTACCTATTCGTGTATCACCATGTCATGTAATCTAGGCTGTGCATCAAATGGTATTTTTATGTGATTAAGAGTGTGAGANTTTATTATGCAACCAAAAATCTTAATTAACTGGTAATTCAAAATTATTAAGTTTTTAAGACTAGAATCAAGTGCCTTTTTAAAAAGTTATTACCTAAATGCTTTAGAAATATTAGGGAGTGGTGGAAAATACCCAATCATAACGTTTCTAACAACAATTATTTCTTTTTCAGATCCCTGTAGTGGGCAGGGGCGTCATTAACTCCGCCCTGTGCCCTGTGGCCGCCAGCGCCAATCGCAAGTCTGAGCAAAGGAGAGGTGGCGCTCTCAAGTTTACACGGCCATTGTAATAGTGTATAGTCAAAAGATAGCACATAAGTCTAAGATTAGGCGCACTCCGTTGATTTTTAGTTGGCCGATAGTTGTGCCCGATTTTAATTTGTATGAAGAATCGGCCAAATCGAATCGGCGTAGTGTGCGCACTCCCATACATGCCCATACTGATCAACTGCCCGACTAAACTACCGGCCGACGAAAAATCAACGGTGTGCGCCTACTCTAAATTGCAAAATATTCCGTAATGCAACTGAATAAGATGCGGTTTAGTTCGATGTACTGTCGTGTGTATGTATCTATATGTTACGGTCAAAGTGATAAATGTGAAAATTATGAATAATCGCCGGTTATTATATAATAATTACCGCATGATTTGATAAATGTGATTAGAGATCATTTATGTGTGTATAAAAATAATGTATTTTAATGATTAATTTAATCATTTCATCTTGTAATTTATATATTTTGTATTAGATAAGTAAGTAATTATTTCGAAACCTTTGGAAAATGTTTTAAATTAAAACTTTTTTTTTTTAATTCTGTTGTTTTCACTGTTTCCCCATAAGAAATAAATATTAAAAACCAAAACTTATGTAGAGTTCCAAACACTTTTATCTCAAGTAAGGCTCATGGGCATTTCTACAGCACGGTGTTATTTTTCTCAATTCGGTGCTAAAATTAATATTTAGTTTTTTAAGTAGTTTCGATAAAAAAATAAAGTTTACTCCATTCTGAATGTAAAAATAGCATTGTCACTAAATATTGTGAAGTGGTTTATGAGAAAAGTTAAGCACCAAATTGAGAGAGCACCGAATTGTGAAAATGAATCA